CGCGCAGTCATGCGAAGATAGCGCGCAATACGCCAAGGATATCTGAAATTGATGAATGAAACAAACAAGAATAGGGATATCACACAAATATACTAGGGGTTAGCTGGGATATAAGAGGAATATCATCAACAATATGAAGATTTTTTCATCGGTTTACTCAACCTGTGTTTCCAGAATGCTGGTGGTCATACTTGAACCAGTTGGTAAAGATGTTCTTATCAGGCTATTGTTTCGGGGATCCAATGTAGTCCCTGCATCCCACTCACTTCCGGCCAGCCACTCTGTTCTCACAACAAACAGCGTGTTCGCTTCCCAAATAAGCCCAGACATCCAAAGTTCAAGTCTTTCAGTTCCATTGCAATAGTCTTTGACTTCCAGGGCAAGTCTCCCACTTACAAAAAAAAACGTCAAATATCACCAGTGGCTCGGGCCTGCTCCACTTGCTGCACATCAGTCTCTTGCATGACGAGCCAATGCCTTTGCAAACAGCTTCCGCAGCACAGCAGCCTTCAAAGTTGGCAAAAACCGAACCTCTGCTAACACCTCCCTTTGTGCCGAACTCGGAAGGGGCCCAAACTCCTCCTCCTCCTCCATGTTCAAGCCCGCAACTCCGCTAACCGTGAAGTTTCCAACTCAAACGCACGAAGGACTTGACGTCGTGCTGAAGTAACCCACTCAACCTGGAAATCGGCGCCCTGACTCCTGACTGTCTCGATATTTCAGCGCGGTCACCAAAAATCTTCGCCAAGTGCACGGCAGCATCGGTGCAGCATATAGATCCCAGTGTCCGGCTAGCTCTACTTCTAACAGTGCTCGAAGTTGCCGCCACACACGAAAAAAAGTGAAAACACGACCTATTTGAGGATGTTTGGTCGCTACAAGAATGATTAAAAAAAGCTGTGTCGTCAGATGGTTGCAAGATGCACAAAAGCAACACCACCAATCACACTACCATCATAACAACAAGAAGAGCAGCAGCAGCAGCAGCAACAACAACAACAACAGAGCAAGCGGGCGACATTCTGGGCAACACCAACAACCCTCGGGGCATCGCCGGTGTGCGAAGCCCTATTTTAAAAAAAAAATGTACATGTCATATATATATATATATCACTCTGAGTTCCAATGGATGATCATGTTTTTTTCCTATTGAAATGGCCAATGGGGGGGTTATACCCTATTTTCGCAAATCCTAAAGCTGATGTCGGGGTGACATAGGGTTCGTTGACCTCAATACCTCGCGATAAAAGTTGGAACTGGGACAACATCTCCCAAAAAATAAGTAGGAGTCGGCCAAACGGTCTCCCTTGGCTCTTGGTTTGGTGCTCACACGGCAGTGGCTTTGCATTTTTGCAAACCCTGGGGCTTCACCCTGAAAACGAATTTACGCACGGTGATCATTGGCTTCGTACAGGCTATTCAACTATTTCTGAATGCTACTTGCAATTCCAAAAGAACACATGGCTATGCAGCGATGCGTCAAAAACCCTCTTAATCTGGTGAACATTCCACTGCTTGGACGATCACAATTGAAGTCCATGACCATTCCCTTTGGTAGGACGTGCACACTCCACCAATGACACCCAATTATACCTAAAGAAACTATCATGGGATGGAAATCACCAATTATTGGTGTTTGACCCATTTGACCCATCCACGCAAATTTTTAAGGGAGGCACCACTTCACCGGCCTGAAATCCTACAAGGTTTGTCTCAAATTGATGGATCCATAAAACCCCAATCAGATCATGGGTAACTCCCATTTTGAGACAATCCTACATGGCCACTAAATACCCCAGACAAAACGCTGGTTTAGCATTGGACCTATTCATTTGGGGTTCCCCATCGAGGAATTCTTAGGGAAATGGTACTGTCCCAACCTAAAAAGGAAAAGAACAAACAATTTTCGAGGTGGGTGGGACCCCATAAATCCAAATGTTTGCTGGCTTAAAATCCAAATAAAGGCGATAATCGTGCATAAATGATGCTATCTGAAATCCTTGAAAATCTCCATCAGCGCCACTTGTGTTGAATTAAAATGCCAATCAAAACGTCTCAAATCCCAATAAATCTCCATAAATCCCTCATAGTCCCTCTAAATCCCATAAGTTCCAATTAAATCCCCATATCAAACTCCATAACTCCCAATCAAACCAACATCACCAACGTAGGACCTGCCTTCGGTGCTGGTATCTTTCCTGATTTCCTCCATGATTTTGGGCAGCTGCTCCATATCGTACGCATCAATCCTGGTCCGCAAGGTTGACAGATTTCCCATTTCTCAAGACAGGGGTGAGCAAACGGTTCGTCTCAGGATTAAGCGACAAGTTACGAAAAATTTCGGTGTTTCATCGTGATTTAAAACCATTTTTCTACTCTACGGTTTGCGTAAATCTCCCCTAGAACGCGCCCAGTGCGTTCGGGATCCATGGCGCAGGACCTGCGAGCTGCTACCTCCAGAAAGCTTCTATTTGCTGCTTACAGTAGTTCCAATGAAGCCACACGATTCCTGGTTCCAAAAGTTGCAACCAATAAACAGACTTCACGATTCTGAGTCCATTTTGGAAAGGGAATGCCATGACCTGTTTGTGCCATGGCTACCGCCCTGCCTCACCCTTCGCAGGGTGAAGCGATCGAAGAAGTCGTAGGCCTCCTGCTGTGGCCACGGAAAACCGTTGTCGTTAAGGATCGCCACGTGATCTACCCAAGACTCCTCCTGAGCATCAGGGAACATCCGTCACGGCCAAATTTGGGGAGGACGGGGGGACTGAAGGAAGAAAAATCAGGGGTTGAGGTGGTTTGACATGATTGAACATGGTTTAATACGGTTCAACATGGTTTAATACAGTTTACAGTAACATGGTTGAACATGGTTTAACCAGGCAAACTGCGAAGACGATGGCCCAACCAGAAAGGAACCATTGCAGGAGTAGGAGCTCAATTATATAAGCAATTACTGGCATCCTCAAGGACTGCAGGTACAAGCACTTCGACAGAAGTTGAGGAGGACCCCTTTCCGGATGATTTCTCCTTGTCTTGAAATCAGGACCATTGAAGACGTTGCTTCTCCGTTCGGTCTGATGGTTCAATTGAGGGTTCAAAACGATTTACACAAAGAAGCTTGGTATTCCTGAAATAACTTCTACTGATCGGCCACAATTGGCTCCTTTGGTGCTATTCAGCCAGACCCCATCCAGATGCAAGCGGCAATGGGAAAAATATGTTCGTGACCCGCATCATTCAGCTCGATCATGATGGTAACACCTCCTCTGGCTGCGGAGTCCGAATCTGATTTTTGAGAGAGTGGTGTTAATATCCGACAAGAAGGAAAACAAAACTGTAATTTCCGAATGATATGGGATGTCACATAATACCACTCTCATTTCACAATAATATCATATGATATGGTATGATATGGTATGTAGTATATCACATTACATTAATAACATACTGTCACATAATAATGCAGTGTAATGGAATATGATGTTATGGTAATGTGACAAAAACTTCGATGTGATGTGATTCGATGTTTCTTTTGATGTAACACTTTTTGTTGTGAATGTAGTGGAACAAAATGTAATATACCCTCTGGTAAACTAACAGTTTACTATGGAAAATCACCATGTTTAATGGGTAAGTCAACTATTTCTATGGCAATGTTCAATAGCTATGTTAGTTTACCAGAGGGTAATGCAATGTACTGTAGTACTGCAATGCGATAAAATGTCAACAAATTGAATGGAATGTATGCATGTACTACAGATTGTCTTCTCTGATGGGCATTTCTTGACAGGTTACCCATCAACGCCATAGGTTGCAGGTAGGAATTCCCGGCTGAGTGACAATACAAACCCTCTGTTGTGGTGTCGTACTCTTGCCCCTGCAAGACTGGAAGCATGACTTCCCAAATATCCCAACAGAATCAGATCCAAATGGTTCATATCACCGAATCACCACCACACCTTCCTTCTTGAGAGAAAATATGTCTGAAATTCACTGAGAGTGCAGTCTGAGGCATGTCACCCAACGCTGCGCAAAACAAATGAAAGGTGGAACGAATCTCGTTGTGATCCATCGTTGCTCATTGCTCCTTGCCCTTTTTGATTCTTTGCATCTAATTTCGTATGGGATATTTATGTACATATATAGACGTAGTGCACACCTACGTAGTGTAGTGTATATATATATATATACATACATATCACATACATATATTATATATATACATAATACACATATCACATACATATATATATATACATATCACATACATATATATATATCTACATATACATGCATGTGTAGAGAGAGAGAGAGAGAGGCTTGCTGTTTCGCTCGCCCCATCCCTATCATCATTCTCACTCTTGTATATACAACATGTACAGTATGTGTTATTCTGTATTCCAATCATTGGTAGTTGCATCCAAATGGAATTGGGATATGGGTCTCATGTTCAATTTTCTATATCCCTTTCTTAGCAGTTCAAAAACACATTGTCAAGATCTGATGTCTAGTCCGTTTCTGCACTCCAGTTGAGTTATATCCCGATCTTTTACAATTCTACATCAGTTGTATCATTTTGACTTAATCACTTGCATCTCGCGGTTTCCTTCCGGCCACGTTTGATGTTTTAACAGCCATATCGATGGCAGAATTCTTTATATTCTTATATTTATTGTTTCAAAACTCCAATGGTGAGTGTAAAGTCCATGTTCATCATCCCTAAATCCTGGATTTCCGCATAATCCATAGTGACTATAGTGCCATTTCAACCCCTTGATGCACTCGGCGCTCAGCTCCTTGATGTACGGCCTCCAACAACTCCAAGCGCTGCTTCTCCTCCAAGCTCTTCAAGCGCCTCGAAAGCTGAGCTCTGATGGCAGTCAGATCCAACAAACATAGCTATGGAAAATGGCAATTTAAGGGGATTTAATGGTGCTTTGATTTATAATCTGGATGGTTGCGAAATCCTGCACTTGATAGGTGGTAAACATTATTTATAGGGTTTCAACATGTTTCAACCATCCTTTTGGTGCAGGATTTCGCAACTTCCATCCACAGTAGCTAGATGTTGATCCCTCCCCCGATGATGATCGCATGTTTTCAAGAAAACAGACCCAATTTTGCTGCTGTCTTGGCGATTGTCTATGGAATCGCCGTTAGTTGCAATGGTTTGGACCCTGGAATTCAGCAGCCTGCAAATCCGATTTGTTCAGACGCTTTGTTGGAGGCTTCCCCAATGAAAACCAGCAGAAATCGCTGCTGGTCCAACAGATCGATCCCCCAAAAAACCTGCGGAAAAGACCTGTCTACGAAGGCGATGATCTTGGGCGCCACACCAGCAATGACATCCTGGGTCCCGGGGGTCTCACGAAAATGATGTTCTTACTGTGTACTACGACATTACATACTGTGGATGGTTGCGAAATCCTGCACCACCAAAAGGATGGTTGAAACATGTTGAAACCCTATAAATCATGGGATAAATAAAACATCTATCAACTGGTGCAGGATTTCTTAACCATCCACAGTATGATATTTACATGCAGTATACTGTCGGCGGTTTTGAACTAGTGCTGGCTAAGCATTGCGACCGCTGCAGCTGATGTTGCACTGCAGCATCTTTTTGATGGGTCGAAACCCTGGCCCAACATCAAAATAGCTGGTAAATAGATGTTCATCCCAAAAATATGGTGTTTATAGGTTTCAACTAGGTGCCAAAGAATTTCGGCCCATCCCCAACTGGTTTCGAACGTCGAACCATCCAGTCTCCAATTCCGGGATGGGGAACAGCTGTGCCACATTGCTGCCAAACCTGCCAGGCTCGCCGCAGGTTTAGCTGCTCTCAAAAAAGATCCTCACCTCAGTTCTTGATGAAAGTCTTTAAAGGGAAAAACAATAAACAAAACGTGTTTTTGCAACAATTTGAAACCTCCAACCAATTGTATATTCCCATCCTCACCCCAAAAAATGACTCCAAAATGAATAGGTCCATTCAAATGTTGCCGTGGGAACCTGGTGTCTAACTGAAATTCTCAAAAAGATGCCTGGTGATTATATTATATTATATCACATCATATTATATCATATCAAACTATATGATACTATAATATTATTATAGTATATTATGATATAATTATATCATACTATACTATATTGTATTATATATATATATCATTTTGTATTGTATTATATTATAGTATAGTATAGAATAGAATAGTATGGTATATTGTATTATATTATATTACCATGGTGCTTATATTATATATAATCTGTGATGACGTTTTTCGTCATCGCACCATGTTTTTCGGTAGTTTGACCAAGCTCTGGCCGCCTAGCCTCTCAACATGGACCCTGGTTCTGTTCATCTAAAGATTGGCGATTCTGAGCGTCTATCTGAAAATTGGTGGTTTGGAAACCACCTAATTTCTCAAGGTTTGATGATTCTTAATGCCAGTTTTTGCCACTTTACTCCTACTTAAATGTCCACTTGTTTAATGATCTTATCTTAATCCATTCTGTGTCTACTCCCAGTTTCGGTTTTAAGCATGGGTATTCATACCGAAATAGCCAATTGTGATAGTGAAATCCATTGTTTGATGGTTTTACCTCCTGTAAACTAACATGGATGTGGAAAACCCACCATTTGTAGATGATGGAAACCCCTCAGGAAACCATGGGTTTTCCACATTTTTTTCTATGTTTACCCTTCGTTATGCAGCGCATCCCCAGGCCTCCAGGTGTGTCCCGTGTTCTTGGACCCGGCGAAACCTGCCAGAAACTGATGCGGTTTTCGTGGCATTGCATCGAATTGCAATGCATTGCATTACAGTACATACACTACCTTGCCTTACCCTTGCCCTTGCCCTTGCCTTTACCCTTACATTTGCCCTTACCCTTACCCTTACCATACCTACCTACATACGTTACATACATGCATTAATACATTACGTGTATATATGTACATATATATACATATATGTATATATACATATATATATATATTTATACATATATATATATACATATATATATATATACATCAATAAGATAGAATTAGGTAGAATAAGATCATCATATGTGTATATATATAGTATGCAAAAGGTATATGATATGATCTACTACAAATGATTATGCATAGAATATATACATATATGTACATATATAGTCATATGTATGTGGCATGTTTTGCTTCATGTTTCTGCATTGCTAGATCTGATCCCCTCAGCTGGGCGGTTCCGGCGGCAAGGAACAGTACCAGTCGCCATAGACGCGGCGGAAGGTGTATTTGCCGTTCTCACCGTTGCTCTTGGTGGTCACTAAGAACCTCTGGGCGTCTTCCATGGTGTACCTATGGGCGAATGAACCGGGAGGATGATGATGTGTCTTGATGTTCACTGTCTGACGATTTTTGCATTTGTATATGTTTATTATATTATATTATATTATATTATATTGTATTATATTACATTATATTATATAATATTATATTATTATATTATATTATTAAATTATATTATTAAATTATATTATATTATATTATGTTATATTACATTATATAATATCATATCAAATCATATTACATCATATTATATTGTATTAAATTATATTATATTATGTTATATTACAGTATATTACATTATATTATATTATATTATATATTATATATTATATATTATATTATATTATATTATGTTATATTATGTTATATTATGTTATATTATGTTATATTATATATGTATATGTATACGTATACGTATACGTATATGTATATGTATGTGTATGTGTATGTGTATGTGTATGTGTATGTGTATGTATGTATTCTTATATGTTGTATATACATGTATATACATATATATGTACATATATAATCATATATATATGTACATATATATACCGTATATAAGTTCGTGTTTAAACAATAAGAATAACTAATAAACATTATTATGATTGTTATCAGTGCATTGCCATTAATGTTCGTAAAACAAGAAAGAACCACCCATATTTTGATGGTTTATTACCAACCATTTATGGCAAAAGATGCAAAAAGCTTCTGTGCTTCATCCCAAACCTCCTTCTCAGCCTCGCTTGGGATCATTCGAACTGCACGTTCACACGCCCCCCCGCAGTGCGAAACTTGTTGATATCATATATCCAAAAGAAAAGTGACTTAACAGCCATCAACGAACTGAAACTCATCTAATATTCATACATATTCCATCATATCCCAGAAGATATTTTCATATAAACATGATCATAAATATACTCATATCCCATATGGAGGTTTCCTAAAATGGGGGGTACCCATTTATCGCTGGATGGTGAATGAAAAATCCATCTATTACATATCTTTTATAAATGAGTATAATATTATTATAAATGGATGATTTGGGGCTACCCCTATGACTTGTTGGAAACCACCATGGACCATATCTATAGCCATTCCCAGACCAGCTCCACGGCTCCGCCAAGGTGCCCGTGGAAGAGAAACGCCGCGGCATCCTCTGTGGCCTTGGAATCTTCGTCCTCGTCCGCAGCGGTGAGGCCTGGTCGTCCAACCCCCAAGTTGTTTTAAAAAAAAGTGAACTCCTGAGAAATGTCTGTGTGTGTGTGACTTTTCATGACTTTTCCATTCTTTTCGAATCTTCTTGGGGTGACATGGGCTTACTAGACAGGTATTGATGGTTGAAAATAAACGATAACATAGATTACTACTAAAACAGTCTGAAAGCAGAGTTATTATAGATTATTGTTCCAACTACGGTTAAGATATTGAAGAAAAAAGCAAGTTGAAACCACCAATCAGTAAAATGGGCCCTCCACTGTGAGATGTCGTTTCTTACAGATTTGCATTACTTGAGCCTTCAAAAACATGGGCCTTACACCGGCTGATAGTCTTTTGAATGACCAGCTCGACCGAAAACTTCTCTTAGATCTCACATCATTCATGGCACCTGTGAACTTCAAGAAGCCTCTCAGAACCACGTTCACCGGAGACTCCCCCACTTTTGTGAAGCAGAAGTTCGTGAAGCCACGTGGAAGCATCTTGCGAAGGAGAGCAGAGGTCAAGTACACACCATCGTCGAAGCCCTTGCCCTTCCTGAGGATCCGATTCTGTCTCCCATAGGAAAATGCCATGGAAAACCCACGAAATAAGGATTCAACTGATTCAAACCATCAACATGAGGATTTTACATGAATTTACCAAGTTTGATGTGTCCAAAATTAGCAGAGTACCCTAAAATCCAGTTATTTATCACGTTTTCCCATTAACAATTGCCAAAAAAGGGTGGTACAGCCCCTTTTGTCTTTTCTGGGCGAACCCACATCACCCAAAAATGGAAGACATCAGGAGATAAAGCGGCAACCAATTGAAACAATTCTCGAACTCCATACACGTCAAGATCATCCAAATGTACATATCTGAAGCGAATTGAACCAATGTACACTGAGAGGTTGCCAAAATTAGCTGGGTGGTTGGTCAGTGGATTATAAACCCTCAAAACACTGGGATCTATTGAGATTTGCCGATATTACCCCACTTACCTACCACGAATCGCTAATTCTGACAACTTCAAAGTGGGATTGAACTGTACTTATTGAAAGAGCAGAACCTCTAGTTTCAGCCATATATTTGGATAGTGCTTAAAATAAAAACATCTGACATATCACCTGTTGGCTGATTACTATGTGGGTCCCCATACTATCCGTTATTACTTGTGGATTCTCACAATCCATCTGGATCGTTTCGCATCAAACCGTGCAGCTGGGTGGCTCTTCAAAGGGTCGGCCTTCTTGGGTTCAAATCAAAAGTCACATTTAAACCACATTAAACCGTACATGTACATTTTTAGGGATGTTGATACTCTTGATCCTACAAAGGTGTGTTTTTTAATTGAGTTCTGTTTGAACGGAATCTTCTTATCAGTTGTGGATGCCCAACGAGATGCATTATATGGGGATATATGGGGGATATCCGGGATAACCCAAAGGGTTTCATCCATCGCATGGTTTTACCCACTCGGCACATGTTACTTGTCTGATATCTTGCCTCCACCTGGCGACAAGCAAACTGATCGAAGGGCAAGAGATTACCAATCTGGTTGAATCCAACAGCAAAGCTGGTTTCGCATGTTCTTCCAATCTATCAAAAGCAACTGGATTTATCCAATACAGAATACCCCAAAATGGCCATGAAACAATGGGGAAACAGGGGGAAACATGATGATCAACTGATCAACCATGATGATACTGCCCCAAGTTGTAACCGGTCCCCACATCCACCGGTCACAGCCACAACTCTCCAGGGACCACACGGAAGTCTTCAGCCACTTCCGGAATTGAACGACCATGAGCCGGAAGTTTTCCACCTCAAATGGGTGATTTGACCCAAGCTTAACACGCGCTTGAAAGTGAATTCAAGGTGCTAAACCATCACATCTTCATCAAGGTTCTTACGAAACAGCATATTTTGGAAGTCAAGGATATTGAGCCATTCCCAACTGTGCTTTTTACGATTCGGATCGAGCGTTCCCAACAACAAAATAATTAAAGCTGCCAGCCACTCACAAACGGTTCAGTGCTTCTGGATGCAAAGTTTCAAACAGCAACCCCTTCGAACTACCTCCGGTAAATGAACATCGATATGCAAAAAAAACACCGTTTCTAGATGTTCCTTGAAAAAACAATGCATCTATCTCAGCAGATCTCATGGATTCCGTGCTTCCTGTCCCTCACGGGGCAGGCGGCACCTGAACGGACACGTCAGGCGCCAAAGCTTCTGGTGAGACCTGGATGGCACCCTCCATGAACCAGGAAAAGGATTACTTAACCATTCATGTTTGGGTTGTGGGAAAAACAACCATGAACCACCCATGACTGGGAATGGTTTATAAAGTTTAGATACACCATGGGTTGATGTTTTTTTATTTCGAGCCACAGCCACTTCCACAAAAGTGGATCAATGACATAATGACTTTGTGGGGAACTTGGGCTCTGCTTGCAGGGTTCTTGACACTCAATTCTTGGCTCCTTGGCTCCCCATGGCTAATGGGGAATGTACAACTGTAACTCTTTGGCTCCCCCCCTAACCACTGGATAGGATGATTTTATCTGACTAAAAGCACCAAAAAAATGACAAACAGTTGGAAACCTGTAAATTATGAAGAAAACATCGTCAAAATACCATCCTGGAAATACATGGAAATACGTTCTCTCATTTTTGGGAGGTACTGTATCCCTAATAAAACAAGATGGAAGCCACGAACCCGAATGTATTCACGTTCTTGGACTACGAGTGCAAACCTCTGCAATAGGAAAACGAACCTTTGTTTGCATGCATCGTGCGGTTCACAAAGAGACAACTAACCAGCACAACAACATCACCACAAGCACAACGAAATCACACAAAATCACCAACACAACAGCATCACCAGCACAGCAACATCACCAGCACAACGAGATCACCACCACCTGCCACACTCCACACTTTACCCACTGCACACTCCACACTCCACACTTTACACTCCACACTCCGCAAACTACACTTTACACTCCACACTCTACACTTTACACTCTACACTTTACACTCGACTCTACACTTGACACTCTACACTTCACACTCGACACTTTCCTCTCCGCACTCCACACTCTACACTTTATACTCCAGGCTCCACACTTTACACTTTACACTCCTCACTCCTCACTCCACGCTCTACGCTCTACACACTCCACCACACTCAACACTCTACACCCACCACACTCCTCACTCCACACTCCACACTTTACATTCCACACGCCACACTTTACACTCCACACTCGCCACTTTCCACTCCACACTCCTCACTCCATACTCCACACTTTACACTCCACACGCCATACTTTACACTCCACACTCCACACTTTACACTCCACACTCCACACTTTGCACTCCACACTCTACACTATACTATACACTCCACACTCCACACTCTACACTTTACACTCTTACTTTTTACAATCTACACTACCCATTCCACACTCTACACGCTCTACACTTCCCACTCCACACTATACAAAGCACTTCCCAGTACTACTTTGTACTGCAAAGCTTGCACAAACTACTTCCCAGTACTACTGTGTACTACACAGCTTGCACAAACTACTTCCCAGTACCACTTTGTACTACAAAGCTTGCACGAAGCACTTACCAGTACCACTTTGTACTACAAAGCTTGCACGAAACCGTTCCCAGTACTACTGTGTACTACAAAGCTTGCAACAACTACTTCCCAGTACTACTTTGTACTACAAAGCTTGCACAAAGTCGTTCGCAGTACTACTTTGTACTACAAAACTTGCACAAAGTCGTTCCCAGTACTACTGTGTACTACAAAGCTTGCACAAAGCACTTCCCAGTACTACTGTGTACTACAAAACTTGCACAAACTACTTCCCAGTACTACTGAGTATACTACAAAAGTCGTTCCAGTACTAATGTGTACTACAAAGCTTGCACAAAGCACTTCCCAGTACTACTGTGTACTACAAAGCTTGCACAAATCACTTCCCAGTACTACTTTGTACTACAAAGCTTGCACAAAGCCCTTCCCAGTACTACTGTGTACTACAAAGCTTGCACAAACTACTTCCCAGTACTACTGTGTACTACAAAACTTGCACAAAGCACTTTCCAGTACTACTGTGTACTACAAAGCTCGCACAAACACGTTCCCAGTACTACTGTGTACTACAAAGCTCGCACAAACTACTTCCCAGTACTACGGTGTACTACAAAACTTGCACAAACACGTTCCAGTACTACTGTGTACTACAAAGCTCGCACAAAACTTCCCAGTACTACTGTGTACTACAAAGCTTGCAGAAAGCACTTCCAGTACTACTGTGTACTACAAAGCTTGCACAAAGTCGTTCCAGTACTACTGTGTACAACAAAGCTCGCACAAACTACTTCCAAGTACTACTGTGTACTACAAAGCTCGCACAAACACGTTCCCAGTACTACTGTGTACTACAAAGCTTGCACAAAGTACTTCCCGGTACTACTGTGTACTACAAAGCTCGCACAAACTACTTCCCAGTACTACTGTGTACTACAAAGCTTGCACAAAGCACTTCCCAGTACTACTGTGTACTACAAAGCTTGCACGAAGCACTTCCCAGTACTACTGTGTACTACAAAGCTTGCAACAACTACTCCCCAGTACTACTTTGTACTACAAAGCTTGCACAAAGTCGTTCCCAGTACTACTGTGTACTACAAAGCTTGCAACAACTACTTCCCAGTACTTCTTTGTACTACAAAGCTTGCACAAAGTCGTTCCCAGTACTACTGTGTACTACAAAGCTTGCACAAAGTCGTTCCCAGTACTACAGTGTACTACAAAGCTCGCACAAACTACTTCCAAGTACTACTGTGTACTTCAAAGCTTGCACAAAGCACTTCCCAGTACTACTGTGTACTACAAAGCTTGCACGAATCACTTCCCAGTACTACTTTGTACTACAAAGCTTGCACAAAGCCCTTCCCAGTACTACTGTGTACTACAAAACTTGCACAAAACACTTCCCAGTACTACTGTGTACTACAAAGCTCGCACAAACACGTTCCAGTACTAGTGTGTACTACAAAACTTGCACAAACTACTTCCCAGTACTACTGTGTACTACAAAGCTCGCACAAAGCACTTCCCAGTACTACTGTGTACTACAAAGCTCGCACAAACTACTTCCAAGCACTACTGTGTACTACTAAGCTCGCACAAAGCACTTCCCAGTACTACTGTGCACTACAAAGCTCGCACAAAGCACTTCCCAGTACTACTGTGTACTACAAAGCTTGCACAAAGCACTTCCCAGTACTACTGTGTACTACAAAGCTTGCACGAAGCACTTCCCAGTACTACTGTGTACTACAAAGCTTGCAACAACTACTTCCCAGTACTACTGTGTACTACAAAGCTTGCACAAAGTCGTTCGCAGTACTACTTTGTACTACAAAACTTGCACAAAGTCGTTCCCAGTACTACTGTGTACTACAAAGCTTGCACAAAGCACTTCCCAGTAAACTACTTCCCAGTACTACTGTGTACTACAAAAGTCGTTCCAGTACTAATGTGTACTACAAAGCTTGCACAAAGCACTTCCCAGTACTACTGTGTACTACAAAGCTTGCACAAATCACTTCCCAGTACTACTTTGTACTACAAAGCTTGCACAAAGCCCTTCCCAGTACTACTGTGTACTACAAAGCTTGCACAAACTACTTCCCAGTACTACTTTGTACTACAAAACTTGCACAAAGCACTTTCCAGTACTACTGTGTACTACAAAGCTCGCACAAACACGTTCCCAGTACTACTGTGTACTACAAAACTTGCACAAACTACTTCCCAGTACTACTTTGTACTACAAAGCTTGCACAAAGTCGTTCCCAGTACTACTGTGTATTACAAAGCTCGCACAAACTACTTCCAAGCACTACTGTGTACTACAAAGCTCGCACAAAAACGTTCCCAGTACTACTGTGTACTACAAAGCTCGCACAAAGCACTTCCCAGTACTACTGTGTACTACAAAGCTCGCACAAACTACTTCCAAGTACTACTGTGTACTACAAAGCTCGCACAAAAACGTTCCCAGTACTACTGTGTACTACAAAGCTCGCACAAAGCACTTCCCAGTACTACTGTGCACTACACAGCTCGCACAAAGCACTTCCCAGTACGACTGTGCACTACAAAGCTTGCACAAAGCACTTCCCAGTACTAGTGTGTACTACAAAGCTTGCACGAAGCACTTCCCAGTACTACTGTGTACTACAAAGCTTGCAACAACTACTTCCCAGTACTACTTTGTACTACAAAGCTTGCACAAAGTCGTTCCCAGTACTACTGTGTACTACAAAGCTTGCAACAACTACTTCCCAGTACTTCTTTGTACTACAAAGCTTGCACAAAGTCGTTCCCAGTACTACTGTGTACTACAAAGCTTGCACAAACTACTTCCCAGTACTACTGTGTACTACAAAGCTCGCACAAACTACTTCCAAGTACTACTGTGTACTTCAAAGCTTGCACAAAGCACTTCCCAGTACTACTGTGTACTACAAAGCTTGCACGAATCACTTCCCAGTACTACTTTGTACTACAAAGCTTGCACAAAGCCCTTCCCAGTACTACTGTGTACTACAAAACTTGCACAAAACACTTCCCAGTACTACTGTGTACTACAAAGCTCGCACAAACACGTTCCAGTACTAGTGTGTACTACAAAACTTGCACAAACTACTTCCCAGTACTACTGTGTACTACAAAGCTCGCACAAAGCACTTCCCAGTACTACTGTGTACTACAAAGCTCGCACAAACTACTTCCAAGCACTACTGTGTACTACAAAGCTCGCACAAAGCACTTCCCAGTACTACTGTGCACTACAAAGCTCGCACAAAGCACTTCCCAGTACGACTGTGTACTACAAAGCTTGCACAAAACACTTCCCAGTACTACTGTGTACTACAAAGCTTGCACGAAGCACTTCCCAGTACTACTGTGTACTACAAAGCTTGCAACATCGACGTAGCAAAACACACGATGTTTTGCAGCTTCCCCTATAGACACTGCAACATCTACGTAGCAAAACACACGAGGTTTTGCAGCTTCCCCTATAGACACTGCGACATCTACGTAGCAAAACATACGAGGTTTTGCAGCTTCCCCTATAGACACTGCGACATCTACGTAGCAAAAAACACGAGGTTTTGCAGCTTCCCCTATAGACACTGCGACATCTACGTAGCAAAAAACACGAGGTTTTGCAGCTTCCCCTATAGACACTGCGACATCTACGCAGCAAAAGACACGAGGTTTTGCAGCTTCCCCTATAGACACTGCAACATCTACGTAGCAAAACACACGAGGTTTTGCAGCTTCCCCTATAGACACTGCAACATCTACGTAGCAAAACACACGAGGTTTTGCAGCTTCCCCTATAGACACTGCGACATCTACGTAGCAAAACATACGAGGTTTTGCAGCTTCCCCTATAGATACTGCGACATCTACGTAGCAAAAAACACGAGGTTTTGCAGCTTCCCCTATAGACACTGCGACATCTACGTAGCAAAAAACACGAGGTTTTGCAGCTTCCCCTATAGACACGACGACATCTACGTAGCAAAAGACACGAGGTTTTGCAGCTTCCCCTATAGACACTGCGACATCGACGCAGCAAAAGACACGAGGTTTTGCAGCTTCCCCTATAGACACTGCGACATCCACGTAGCAAAAGACACGAGGTTTTGCAGCTTCCCCTATAGACACGGCGACATCCACGTAGCAAAAGACACGAGATTTTGCAGCTTCCCCTATAGACACTGCGACATCGACGCAGCAAAAGACACGAGATTTTGCAGCTTCCCCTATAGACACTGCGACATCCACGTAGCAAAAGACACGAGGTTTTGCAGCTTCCCCTATAGACACTGCGATATCGACGCAGCAAAAGACACGAGGTTTGCAGCTTCCCCTATAGACACTGCGACATCTACGCAGCAAAAAACACGAGGTTTTGCAGCTTCCCCTATAGACACTGCGACATCTACGTAGCAAAACACACGAGGTTTTGCAGCTTCCCCTATAGACACTGCGACATCTACGTAGCAAAAAACACGAGGTTTTGCAGCTTCCCCTATAGACACTGCGACATCGACGCAGCAAAAGACACGAAGTTTTGCAGCTTCCCCTATAGACACCGAATTAACGACACGAAAAACGACGCGAAAACGACGCGAAAACGACGCGAAAAACGACGCGAAAACGACGCGAAAAACGACGCGCCGACCAACTGGCGGCGAACAAAGGTCCAACCCCCAGACCCCCAACTATAAACGGGAACCCTTCGCTACGCATTCGGGAAAAAGGACCATCCGCCCCTGGCCACCCCAAAGCCTCCTTTACCTTTCGATCAACAAAGGGATGCGCGCGGAGCAGTTCCAACTGGGCAGCCTGACAGCAAGACGACGGGATCCAAGAGACATACCTTGGTGGTCCCCGTTTTAAAACGGCAATGAATGGGTAAGAGTTGGATTCAACCGTTGAAAAAATTGGAATGTTTAAATCTCTGGAACATTCTATCTATCATATCGGGTTCCCCCCAGAAAAAATGAATTTACCCTCCCTTTTATTGCTGTCAAATAATGAGGCAAATTATGACAAACCATTGGATTCTTGGATGCCCTATGGTGCTGTCCCTCCTTTCTAGATTCCATGTGATTCCATATGGTCATATCTCCACCCTGGTTTCCCCCAGCCTTGATTTAAAGCCCCATGTTCTGGCGGTCCATGGTTTTCCGAAATTCCCCAATCAATGCCACACTGCACCTGCTTGGCAGCACCCGTGCCGCCCGTGTCGAAAGCTTCCAGCAGCGGCGCGAGGCTTTCCTCTTCAGGTGGAGTCAAATGAATTGATCCGATTCTACGGACAAGTAACCCAGGATTTTGATTGGGACTTAATGATTTCAATATTGAGGGAAGAGATGTATTATGTCTATAAATTCCAATCTGGAGACTGCGTAGGCAGGTCATGTTTTCTTCTTTGCCCGCAGTCGTTTGAATTGACCGTGGGACGGCACACTTGGTTGGAAGCCATATCCAGATCTTGCCAACCGTGCTCCTCGCAGGGAAGAAGAGGAATGCCACAGACCTCCACAGTCTGTGGAGGCATGAGCTCTGGTAGTGGACATGGCAGGGATGCTCCCCCATTTGTAGATGATGTGGTTTTGTCTGAAACTTGGGTACCCCATCAAAAATTGCCATTTCAAGGTATCTATCTTCCATTTTAAGTCGAAGCCGTGTTCTCCTTTGGGACTGGCAATTCCTTTCGGGTGAGCTTGGATCTGCATGGACTGTCAATGGATCTACCTTCACCACCAATCAAGGTACCAACCCCAACGCAGAACGTATTGTTTATAGAAGCCTCTCAAATGATGCAAAAAAACTGTATCTGCGCAATGGTTGTGGATTCTGGTATGGTCATGCCTTAGTAGAAATCCTTATAGTGGATATTAACTAAGCGTTATTGAGTCGTTCATGGCGGGATGGTCCCCATCCCCCATGGGAAAAATGGTCCCTGCCTTCTTCAGCCATGACCGGGAGCGCACCAGCCGCGGCGCGGCTGGCGCTTTGGCCGCAGGGGGTGCTTTGGCCACGTCTGGCGGGGCGACATGAGGACCGAGCGGATAGGAACCAGGGTTAGCCATGGTTAGCCAGTCCTTCAACTAGCCCAGAGTTGGATGTGCATCCCTCTTAGTGGTGAATAAGATTTAATAAGCATGGTTAAAGGCCAGCCATATGGGACAAAACAAAAATATGTCCTGAAATGTCCTGAATTTGCTGGGTTACTATCATTTAGTATCCGGCTACCAACTGTGATACACAGGTAAGGCACTAAAAACATGGAGATCAACCACCTAATTGCAATGGTCAGCGCAGTAGATGCTATGGCCAATTTCCTTGGGTCGTTTGAATGCCCTACCCCACTGGTGCTGGATATGCACCCATCAGAACTCTGAATTCTTCAAAGCTTCCCAAATAGCACTTGGTGCTTGTGTCATCGAGACGGTTCAGGTCCAAACTACGTATACTTTTAACCAAGAATGTTGCGAATCTGCACCCTTGAATTCCCCTCACTAAATCGCGAATGCAGCAAGCATTGGACTAAACCAAGCCTTCAGTCACAGGCTTGCACTCCGTCTCCCAGTAATATTGAATCTCCTGGCCCACAAAGTTCAAGCTGAACAACACTCAGATAGCATTCCCAAGCGAAAAGACACTGTGGGGCCTGGGGCGACAAAGAAGGAGAAACTAAATTCAAGCTAATAAAGTCAAGCAGTCCCTGCGACTATTTCTGCAGCAGATGTCTTACAGTGACTGTAAAGCATTGTAAAGCATTGCTTGATGCATCACCAAGAGCCACAATCTAGATCAAGAATCCATCAACAGTACAGAAGCCGACTGTCTTTACACCAGTGATTCTACCATACCTGGCGGCCATGGCTCAAAAATTGCCGTTTCAAGGCCTACGTGGCGTTTGAGACGTTGAATGGGGCCTGGCCTTCTTCTTGTACTTGCCCTTGTACTTCTCTTCCAGCTCAGCCAAGGAGTGGGCACATCCATCCACAGGGTCCGTCTTTTTCTTCACCATCGTGGACAGGGGCGGCTCGCATGCCGGGCTTCGGATGCATCGACCGCAGTTGGCAAAAGCTTCTAGGGCCAAGATCTGTGTTTCACGTTACAACAATATGGAAGTCCAGACATCCAGGAAACAGTGACTACAACCTCTAAAAATTTCTAAAATATACATGGATCAATATGAACTCATTTTTTGTCCTGGTCCAACAGGAATGTCCCTTACCATCTGTTTGGGATGTCCATATGAGTTGTTCAGGAAATAGTTCTGCTCTGAAATGTCAGCCTTGAACATGCGATCCTATCATCTGAAGCCAAAGTGAATTCCGTTGCCAGAAGGAATGTCCGTTGAGTTTTTCTCAGAACATGAATATGGCCACCGTTGGGTACCCAAAAAAAACGTTTGCTTGATGGGATATACACTGGCTTTGGCCGAACAGAAGAAACCATCAAATTGTGGTTTTTCGGTGTCCCTATCCTCCCAAAAAACTCTGAACAACAGCCTGAAATCAAGATGAATTCTTTGGTTTCATCTACGGTCTTTCCCAGCCTTAATTTGAGATACTTCAGTATCTTTAGATGTATCTTTGGGAAACCTCCACTCAACTTGAATGTCTAGAGAATCCGTTTCACCTGTGGGATTTGCAACCAAATAACATCAAATAAACCCAAGATTTCTTGGGTGCAACCTGCTAAGTCCCAGCCTCATGGATGCCCCCACGTTTCCAGTGCCCATGATGATCCTTGGATTCCGGAGACGGAGACATCAATCATACATTCCACCTGGAAACAAAATGAACAATGATGGTGGTTAACAATGTTTAATCATGGCTAACAATGGTTAGTTTAATCATGGCTAACAATGGTTAATAGTGGTTGATAATGGTTAGATTAATCATGATTACCCTCTGGTTTTTGAACGTAGCGAACTGGAAAGTTACATCTTTTAACAAGTAAATCATCATAAATCATCTATAAACGGGCCATGTTCCATAGCTATGTTAAAAACCAGAAGCTAATAATGGTTTATAATGGTTCATAATGGTTCATAAGTGTTATAGTTAAAAATTGTTACCCTCAATATGTGATAAATAATGAAGCATTCAATGGACTATTACACCATATCTAATGGATTAGTAAGGATGATTATAGTATATCATGGCATACAATAGTATATGTACCATTTGGTTATCAAACATAACTTGTTGGAAAACCAATCGTTTTCAGATGTTTGATCGGGCATTTTCCAGTTTGCCATGTCTGACTGCCGGAGGGATGATCAATAGTGAAATATGTCAATGTGATACTGGTGGAATATATAACCGTATGTGCCATTCTCATCATACCTAAACCTCCCATTGGAGAAAGAAGAGGTACTACACAAACATGTGTACCATTTTTTTCTGCCCGATTTCAAAACATGTGCCCGTTTAGGGGTCTGAAAAGAAAGGTGTCCGGAGTTCCGTGGCTCCCCATAGTAATCAACCTGATTCTTTCTCCATAGGCTCGATAGGACACTTTTGTCACGCGCTAATGCATGTGCAGCATGCCAAATACGACCTCGAACAGCCACGCCTGACAACATGGGTTGCATCGCAGCACATGTAAACAACCGAGCTTTGGACAGGGTAAATCTAAAGTATCCACCTCAACATCACGTATGTTTTTCATAGGCCAAGATACCTCCAGCAAACAACCTTCAGCTATAGCGCAATTTTCACAACACCACATCAACAGTCCGGCATTATTTTTTCACAGGAAGAATCCTCATGCAGGGCGTTCAACATTCAACACAAAAACACCACAGTCACAACAAGCAAATACATAACATATATAACATGAACACTACACGCTACAAAATCCAGAAACATGCGCACCGGGAGTCCAAGTAAAACGGGAATGAAGCCAATGCATGAACTAAAAGGTGCGATGGAAGAACTGGCTAGGCTCAGACTCAAACAACATGCCCCCCACAAGCTCAAGACCACATGGCGGCGCCTTCTCTTCGGACCATGCCTTCTGTTCGGACTATGCGCAAAAAAGGTCTTCAAAAACACGCGACACGTCATGACCGTCAAAACAAGAGGGTCAAGTGGTACACTTTTTTTTCGCGCCCGTTTCCCGCTTTTTTGCGCCCGTTTCGCGCGTTTTCGCGCCCGTTTCTCGCAAGACCCTTGGATAATATCAGGCGCAAAATGTCAACATCATGCATGCCAAAGCTGGTCTACTGCAAGGCGCCATTTTTTATCAAGCAAACGTCAACCTGACCGTGTTTCCCAGAGTTCACGGTCAAACTTTGTCATGCACAGCCATGCCACAGGCCGGCTAATTTTGCCACGAGGTGTTTCCACAGATAGTCCCATGCATCAAGCACTTGTGCGCTGTGCCATGAGTTACCCATGGGCAGGGCTTCAAACATTTCACGGCGAGCGGAAAAAATCCGATTTTTATCCTGGAGGAGGAATCAGATGCAACCATCTGAAAGATAAGTCATGCATCCAGCCATGCATGGAAACAAGAACATCTTCAATATCGTGTGCAGCAGCCTTGCTCTTTGATTGAGGTAAATCATGGTAAAGCTATATATGGGGATATTTGGCACAGATTAATAGCTGCATGTCGGTCACATCATCTGTGCCCATGTCATCTTTCAACAAACACATTGTGAAACTATAGGCCAACTACGCTTCAAACCCAGCCACATGCTTGCCAACGGGGCTGATTTGGACGTATATGTTTGAGCACAAGTTGGGAAGGGGCTGGCAAAACTGAAAACGGCACAAAACGTAGCCATTATTAGCCACTTGGAAAATATGTCCACGTAGTTACCTTTTAAAAACGTGCTCGAAAATGAGGTTGTTTTCAGAATCTGCCCGTTTACCGAAAAAGTGTACCAAACACCCTACAAGTACACATTTATCTGTACCACTGGGCGGCGCAGCTATAATATATATATATACACACCAGTAGTGCCGCACAAGGTGGTGGCGCAAGTTTCAAAAATTGAAAGCCTATAGGGGAGATTGGTTGTTGTGAATCACGGTTGGCAGAGCGAATCCACTGATGGACCGAAAGGTGGTTGGAGTTGTGTTTTTTGGAGTGGTTGCACTGGTTGCAGTGGTCACCCCACCCACAACTGCTGGATGTAGTGTGGTGTAGCGCAGTTGTAGTTGTAGCTGTAGTGGAGTTGTAGTTGTAGTGTAGTGTAATTAGTGTAGTTGTAGTTGCGGTTTGTAGTTGTAAAGTAGTGTTGTGTAGTGAAGTGAAGTGTAGCGTAGTGAAGCGAAGTGTAGCGTAGTGTAGTGTAGTGTAGGGTAGGGTAGTGTAGTGTAGTGTGCTGTAGTGTGGTGTAGTGCAATGTAGTGTCGTGTTGTGTTGGGTACTCTAGTGTAGTAAAGTGAAGTAGTGTAGTCTAGTGTAGTGTGTGTGTGTGTCAAGTAGTGTAGTTGTAGTTGTAGTGTAGCTCGTGTAGTTGTGGTTGTAGTGTAGTGTAGTTAGTGTAGTTAGTGTAGTGAAGTGTGTTGGTGTAGTGTAGTGTTGTGTAGTGTTGTGTTGCGTAGTGTATGTATGTATGTATGCATGCATGCATGCATGCATGCATGTTATGTTATGTTATGTTATGTAATGTAATGTAATGTATTGTATTGTATTGTATTGTATGTATGTATGTATGTATGTATGTATGTATGTATGTATGTATGTGTATTATATATATATATATGCATGCGCACGTATTGCGCGGCCTTTTGGTATTGCAAGTATTGGTCATAATACCCTTTCCCATAATCTGCTAAAGCTTGACTCACAGGTTTCGGCTTTTTGGCTACGAAATGTTGATGCGGCAATCTTGGGCCCAGACCCCACGCAGTTCTCGCCTCACTTTCAAGGAGTCGTGGCATCAACTGTCACTTCGAATGTCTATCACTCCAATGGCGAATGCTTGTGTATCTGTGGCACACTTGGTTCGGAAACTGCAATAAGGTTTCCAATGTTTTTTCTGAGTGGATTGCAAATAAAGTGCAACATTGGCAAGCCGTTCGTCTGCTGGGCATCGCTCACGCCCCTCCAACTTTTGCTTTGGGTCACACCGCTGGTACCCTTTCTGAATCTCCCGAAAAATGAACACATGACTTTGGAATGTCCACCATCCCAACTTCTAGACTTAGATGCTCCCTGAATCTAGACTGCAAAGGCTTGGTACCTGGGTTACAAAGTTTTGACCCCAACTGGAATTGAAAGTTAACTTTTTGTAGGGTACCCCAAGTTTTGATGGTTTATCCTCATCTTCCTCATTTTCAGATAGCCGATTTTTGGTGGGCAAGCCCCTCATGTGCAGACACTTCTACTAGTATAGAGCCATATTCGATCATATTTCTACCTTAGCTCCAAGAAGCTTCCCCACGTCCCCTCCGGTGTTCTCAAACGTGGCTGGAAATCTCCCCAAATTTACTTCGATGTTTCCATAGAGTTCATCCCAGCAACGGACGTCTCCTAGGACCCAGCAGAACCCCAGGCCCCCCAGCTTGAATAGAAGGGGGCATAGAGATCCCAGGAGCTGCTGCCGTGCAGGTGCAGAGCGCAGTCCTGCGATGGGATGGTTGTTGTGTCGTATGGACATTCATAAAAATCTATGGATTAAAAGAATAATCAAACTAACCCCAACCCATCATAACCCATCTATATCGATATGAAATTCTATGAACTGTTTTGTAGAAATCGATGGAGAAAAATGTTAGCCATCAAACTATCCGAACAAGGTTGATTCGGTATGAGATATCCATGGCGAATGTTTGGCTGCCACGTTTGTTGAAAGGATTCCAAAGTCGCATAGTCGCATCTAAGAGGTGCTGCTCAATCACAAGCTGCAAAGCAGCATGCAGGCACCCTATCAAAACCCCGAAATGTTGTCCCTTTCTCCCCGAGTTGGTACCCTCTGGTAAACTAACATATCGTAGCTATTGAAAATCACCATTTATACAGTTGATTTACTCATTAGAAAGCGTGATTTTCCATAGTAAACTGTTAGTTTGCCAGGGGGTAAAGGGGACAATATATCAAGGGTTTTTGCAGCTGCTCATGTTGAGTCCTGTAAAGGCTTTCCTGCGCAGAAGTACGGCTGGCCCTGGCCTGGGCAATCGAAAACATCAGCAGAAAAGAATCAACAACCCAAAAGGATCCAAAGGGTGTGTGTGTGTGTCTGGAAATGGGTAAATACCCATCAAATTGCAATTTTACAGGGAAAAATGATGATGAACCATGGGATTTAGAGGTTTTCACATTAATTGTCAGACAAGACCACAGAGTTTGAAGCCGCAGTAGCACCTGGAATTGGTTTTCAAATGCTCGGACCCGAAAAGGACATACCGGGAACTTGGTTCCCAACCTGGTCTGACATTTTAACCCCTGCCCATTTCGTGTGTATTTATAGATATATGTACGTGACCCAAACGACATGTATTTTGGATAGTTAACCCGCCATTCCATTCGATTGTATGGATCAAAATCAATCGTTAAATCAATCATTTGGTTTCCAGGTATGACCCAAAAAACGTGATTTTTCCAAATACCCTCTGGTAAATAAACATAGACCCTGAAAATCACCAATTTTTAATGGAAACTAGTCTTGCAACCCCTATCTGCCAGGGTCTATGTTAATTTACCAGAGGGTACCAGGTCCTCAATGAATCTTTCAAAACATGACACAGACCTCTGTCCCGGACCTCGATCCCAAGGCTCCGGCTGTTCACCCTGGGCGGTTTCAAATAGCGCCACGATCCTCCCTGCGGGAAAGCTGGGCCCAGTGGCTACAGCGCTTGAGCCTCTACCCCGGTGGATCGTTGGGGGAATAATATATATAATTAAATATATGATATTATATTATATTATAGTTATAGTTATATTATATTATATCATATTATATTATATTATAGTTATATCATATTATATTCTATTATATTATATGTTATGTTATGTTATATTATATTATATTATATTATATTATATTATATCATATTATATCATATTATATTATATTATATACAGATATATACAGTATATAATGTGGGTAAAATGTGTCCATCCATTCTGAATAGGTAAATCGTCAATCATAAACCACCCATGACTGGGAATGGCTTTTACATACCACCTATAAAAAATTGTGATTTGGGGATGGTTTATGGCATTGTTTTACCACATTAGATGGAAAAGAAAATCCCAAATCTCCGCATCACTCCTGTGACAGCTTGGCCTTGTCAAAGGAAATCACTGTGCGGATGGTGCGCTCCTCCTGACAGGGCTTGATGGAACCCCAATTTTTTCTTAGCAAAAGAAACCCGAAACACATCCCCAGCAACAAATACATGTCAAGTGATGGTGAGGGGGACAACCACCCTTACACTGATTGGCCCAAAAGACACGAATTTGTACCAGAATCGCCTTGAAACCTGGTAGTGTACAACGTGTTTCATAGCGTAATAATCGTGATATAACTTAACGTGTATTATCGTGTATTAACCTCTGGTAATTTAACATAGCTATTGAAAATGGCCCATTTATAGTTGATTTACCTATTCAGGATGGTGAATTTCCATAGCTATGTTAGTTTACTAGAGGGTAACTTAATAATTCAGATTTGGGTCGCACTTTGGGACCCTGGATTGGTGATTCCATAGCAGCTGGGTCCAAAAAAAAGGGGCCCACCTTGGCCATGCGGGAGGCTTTGCCCCAGCCACGGCCATGTCTCCTATCTACCTCGGCCCGGGAAAGAAGGTCTTGAAATGATGCGATATGATCATACATTATCTGGATTTATCTGGATTTATCTGGAATATTGGATTGAAACTACCTGACTACCTTAATCATATGTGGTATTCTCATGAATTATCTTAACTGTTGGACCATGAAGTGACTAGTGTGACTATTGGATTCAAGTTTGGGTTTTCGTGGTAAGCTTCTCTTGACATGTTTTTGGGCTGCTTTTGGCCCGTGAACCTTGGCAATATGCTTTGGCCACATGAAAGCTCTGGGATTCACATGGCTTAACATTCTATTTGACTTCTCTTCGTGGGGTCCAAGAGTCATTTCAAATGAAATAGACCAAAATGCCTTTGGCAGCACAACAAAATGCGGGAAATCGTTCACCATCTACTGACCCTGAGTTTCTTCGCGTCCCAGCTGATGATCCCTCCGAAGCGTCTTGCTCCACAGATTCTGTGGCAGCTTGCTTGGCCTAAGCAGTTCAAGCATCAACAAAGGTGGTTTTCTGCAAAATGGGGATCCCCAAGAGCATAGGTTTCAATACTCAAATGATCGAACTTTGGATGATTAGGAAACCTCCAAGTAACCCAGGAGTTGGAGCTGGTAGCAGTCCCAGTTTTTCAAGGATAGCCTGCAGTTGTTTAATTGTTTCTAGCCCTACCCCAATTTTTCTCGGGCCAGGAGCCTTCTCGTAGCCTGCGTCAGCCGAATCGGCTTGCGCCTCGGCGAATTTTTCTGAGGAACCACCGGGGTCATTTTGGGTCCTGATGAGTCCCAGCGCCGTAGAAACCCGAGGTGTTGAGACCGTCCCTTGCACCATCCCTAGCGGCCCTAGCATCTGGCTACCTTTAACTTGACTGATTTCAGTGAGTAGATCCCATGGGCCACTTGAAAACTTGGATCTTCCAGACAATATCCAAAAACTTATCACAAACCGTCTCTCTGAACAGTCACCTTTCCAGGATTCAATGTTGGAGGAGGCTACAGAATGCTCTGCCAGGAAAACGATGCATCAACTGTAGCCTCAAGATATGTTTGGGATTTTGGACCAGCTTCTTCCCACGCTGGGGATCACATCATCATTGTTTTGACCTCCCCCTTCGGAGCCCTGCCACTACATTGGCCAGGTAGACCCCCGTCAGGCTGACCACCTATGCGACCAACTATGGGACAACTGGATCAAATTGGGAGCACTGGGAGATCACCTCTGCGGAGTGGATTTCGCATTGGCAAGTTTGATTTCTATAGATTCTAGAGGTGAAACCCACCTAAGTCCCCATGTTTTAGGGTTAACCCCCACGTTTTCATGGTTAACACATGTATGATAGTTTTGTAAGTTTTATCCCTCATTTTCATGGTCAAATCCCCATTTTTATGAGGGTTAAACTGTGTAGGCAGCTGTCATTTTAAACTCACATCTTTCACTCTGAAAAATCCCAAAAAAAAACACACTTAAATCCATCTCTTTCAGGCTTTCCCAAGACAGGCCTTGTCGAATTCGACCTCACCGGTGGAAGAGCGCACATTGTGCAGCAGCGACTGCGAGTACCTCGCAGTTCTCCCAACGGTCCAGGGTTGGAAGGGACTTGGGGATTGGACCAACAAGAATTGGGCTTTTGCCATTGAGAAAACCTGGACTTGGAACGATTCTGTCCTCGCTATGCCGGCGATGCCCCTATGCAAGGGTCCTGTTACCATCCAAGCTACAACGGCCTGAGTGCCGCGCTTGTAACCTTCGCTGTCGGATACAAAAATGCGGCCAGTGTCAGTGGCCCCCTGACAGCGGTTGATTTTCCAAAGGCACTGCTTAAATCTAGGGATATCTAGGGACTACCCCGCCGTGGTTTACGGTGCGAATACATACCATTTTGATCCATTTTGACTTTTGACTACTTTTGGGGCTGACCCTGATTTGTGGACTCCTCAAAATTGGCAAAGGTGAAAATGGATGTGGAAGCCGCAATGGAAGGCGAGCTACATTCTGAACCAACGCAGCAATTCAGTACCCAAAAGAAGTGCTTCACCATCCCCGCCGTCTCGGAGTTCAGGTGCAGAAGGACCGCGCCCTCTGAGGTGTCCACAATTGTGTACCTCAGCAAATCGAACAAGTTGGGAACCAGGTTTTTCATGGGAAAATATGGGAAAAGCATGGGATTGTTGAAGGAAAAGCATCTATATCTGGGGGTTGTAATGTGATGCCCTGCTGGCAATCTAACAGCTTGCGAAAATGAGGAAAATGGCCATGTTGAATAGGTAAATCATCTACTTTCATGGGGCAGGAAATTATGGCCATGTGAAATGACCAAAGGGTAATTCAAAGTAAGAATGGGATCTGCTTAGGATAAAATCCGAATCTGAGGTTATTATGTATTGTTACTCATATGTAATTGGGTAGCAAACAGGAGAGTATCACAAACAAATAGATGCCCCATTTGCCCAATGACTTTCTGCGCTACGTTTTTACTAGAAATGGGTTGTGTAAGACCATGCCTAATTGAAGGCTTGCGGCACTGGGTTTTCCACATTATCCAAGTGAAGCTTTATTCTTAGGCTTACCACATGAAAAATGGAGGGGGTTGAAGTGGAACGCTGCGGCTTCCAAGTCCACAAATTCTGGGACAAGATCGTGACCCCATGGCTCGCAAGAGTCGTCACTTTCAAACAAATTGGGTATACCCTCTGGTAAACTAACATAGCTGAAAATCACCATGTTTCATGGGTAATTCAACTATAAATATCTATTTCTATGGCAATGTTCAATAGCTATGTAACCAATTGCCAGAGGGTAGATCATTTCTCCCCACAAACAATCTGCTCAAATCTCAGGAAACACAGCGACACAGCGATCCCAGACGTGTTGGGATACCTCTGAGTGCCCCACCACTTCTCCTCTAGCTCTCCCATCCCGGATGGCAGCAATGCCGCCTGGGTTGCGGGACACCCAAAGGTTGATCCGGAAAATGGAGATGTGTATATCCATACATACACACATGTGTATATATATATATGTAGTATTATGATTATTATGTGTATGTACATATACATGTTACATATATACACTGTAATACACGCATATTTGTTTATATACAAGGCACCCAAAACATCCCCAGACCGCATCGGGGTATACAAAAGGGAAACAATCAGAGCACATCCACACTTTTCAGAGCGATCATGACAGGACCAACCACAACGGCTGTGGCTACCTATACAAGCGGGGTGAACATGGAACCACTGGAACCACGAATTACAAATCGCTCTCAATTTTGGAACTTTGAACCATCCTGTTTCTCGGGTCAATGACCTCTGTCGCCCGTTCCATTCAAGGCTAAGATTGAGTCAATCAATGCAATCGCAGGAAAGAAGCTTTGCAACAGCTCTAACTCGTATACAACTACTTGCCTATATAAATATGGATGCGAAAACGAAATCCTCCTCCAGAGTTTCTGATATGATCTTTGTACCTGTAAATCAATTCTTTAGAGGGAAAACCACCATTCCACATCATTCCACCAGCAAAAGGGCAACCATGGATCACTAACAAAATGATGACATATCCATACATATCCAGTTTTGCTGTGAAAACTCAATTTCTTTTGCTGTTCAAAACCTCATTCTTCGATGGAAAAATAGGCCAAGCACCGGCCCCCAACCAGCCTTCCAGGTGTTGGCTCCATCGTTGGAAACCATGAGGTTCACGGTCTGCCTCTCCTGGTTCGGGACAGGTAGAAATCAACCAGTCTGTCTGGTAGAAGTCAATGTTTAATGATGTTTAATGATGTTTAATGATGTTTAATGATGTTTAATGATGTTTAATGATGTTTATGGTTGTTTTGGGGGGAAAAAAAACATGTTCGAAAATGGTCTCATTTTCCAGTCGTCAGTCTGGTAGTTTGCTGCAGCCTCACTGGATACCTTGGCAACTAGAATGAACCTGGCCGCTCAATGGGTGTCCAATGGGCGTAGAAAGCCAGAAGCAGCAGGAGAGAATCAGGAGACATGATCGATGCATGCTGGTTATGGATCACAGCCGCGGTTACGGCTCAAGACTGAGATGGTTTACCACAGGAGCAAAAAGTGTCAGTGCCGAAAGGTCTTAAGTATTTGCTCTAGGACTGCATAGCTTGCTCTAGGTATTTGCCATGCACCCATGTCATGCTAAGCAACACGGTCTCCGTATGCCCCGGACATCCCCAAAACCAGCCATCTGACTGGCTCCCAAGCGAGGCGGGGTGCACTCGTTGGAAATCATGAACTTGTTCCCATGTTTCAAACCTGAGCTGATGCCGACCCTGGCTCCGAAACCTCCTCTGCTGATCCCATTCACGGAAAACCACCCCCGCCGTCACCCGGAAAACCACGGCATACTACGATGGCTCATGCTGACCCGATCACTAGACTAGATAGCAACCCCAAAAAAAAAGATTGAAAAGTCAAATCCCACTAAGATAGTGTTTAAAACGGTGGGCTACAAAGGAATCACCCCACTATCAGCCCAAAAAACCCACTAAGATAGTGATCATGTTGGCCACTATCCTTTTCGGGGTACAACCAGCGCGCTGTTTAATGATGGCCAGACCCCGACTTCGGCCGCCGCGCTGGTGATTTGGGACGCAGGCCTGCCCTGGTCATTGACATCCACAGCTCGGAAGTCCACCTGGCGGCCCCAGTGGTTGAAAATTAGGACTTTCCATGGCGATTCCAAGGGGCAAACATCAATCATTTTTAAAGGGAATCCCAAAGGGTCGGCCTTACTCGACCTACCAAAATGGTACAGTTGAAGGCAAGTTTGAAGTTTTGGGTCCATATACTGAAATCGTTGGTCCATATACTGAAATGTCCAACCAATCAAATGTCCAATGATTTTCAGTACGACATTTCAGCAGTTTGAAACCTTGGAAACCAACCGATTGATGGATGCCGCATCTCTCGATCATTTCTACATTGCAAAGGCGGACGCCCCGTTTTTGGTATTTCTCCCATAATCATCACGTAAGGTGGAGGGATTAACCACTATTTAACCACCAAAACCATTGATTGTCCACTCCCGAAATTTCATAAAAATAGCGGGAAAATCATGTCCTGCTTAAAAAAGAACAACAACTCATGTCACAAGAAAACAAAAATGGTGAAATATCGATTTCTGAACAACAAAAATGCATTTCTCATGATATCGATTGAAGTCCCTGGTTTCATAGCACCCCTGCAGCAGCTCAGCAGTACCTCGGTACTCCACTGTGAGAGCTTGCCCTGGTCGCTACTTTTGGAGGCGTAGGCAGTGTAGTAGATCTGGTGCCAAGGCCCCCCGAAGCCCCGAAGCTGGATCTTCTGATTTTCATGGGAAAAAGGTGTAGTTTAGAGCTGCATAACTGTATAACCAATTAAAGCTCGAGGGGTTATATAATCAACTCAAAGTGGGCACTCAACATCATTCAACAAAGAAATATGGATTTGTTAAAGGGCCTAAAACCAAACTTGGTAGGTTCGCAAATACACCCAGAGGGCCCCTGTTCCCAGTTGCAACTGGATTATTTCACCCCGTTGAACTGGTGGCCCTTGTGATTGGAGTGATCATAAATCATAAATCTCTAACTGGTATTAGCCCATCACTACAGTTAGATGCTTGCCAGTGGACTTTCGCAGTTTTGACCTATGGGAGTCACTGCATGGTTTATCATTCAACACCTACACCTGCAGTCCCTCAAGACAAAATGTATATTCATACTATCTACCCTCTGGTAATTTAACATAGCCATGGAAAATGGCCCATAGAAATAGATGGTTTACCTATTAAAAATGGTGATTTCCCATGGCAAACTGTTAAATAACGAGATGGTACATTCTACAATATCTATACAAGAAGGCACCATGGAACCAAAAGCCACCAGCAGTGGCACCCGATGGCACCCGGTCAGACTGGTTGATCTTGGCACTGCCCCAGCTGAACTGCACCACGTACTGCGCAATCTGCAGGAAGGTCCTTGGGAATCGCCGGCGAGCTTGGGACTTTGAGGTGGTACGTAGCATATGGCCGTTTTGTATAAGGTCTACAGTACGTAAGACCTCATGTAAGATCTATCTAATGGATTCTAATGGAGTATCCCACAAGAAATATGGTCTTACATGCCACGGTACCAAGGACCTTCAATTCAGGGGCCTAAATGGACCCTTGATGCATAAAACAACAGCCCATGCTCTTTAGTCATTCAGCGTTCAACTCGTCCAAGTGAATTGTTGCTTTCTCAGAAAAGAAAGACTCAATTACCTACAGACTCTATCACTGCTGAACTCTAAGGATATATGCACGTTGCCCACAATCTGAGCCTAACCCGCCCTTCGCACAGGGACTTTAAAATCATTCCATACGTCATCAACATAGGCTGAAGGGCAGCCTCTCCTGCTTCAGAGTTTGGCACCAGTGATCCCCCATTTGTGATGTTCAATCCCAAAAATCGGGCTGTTGTTGGTCAAATTGGGTTCTCTGAAAATGACATACCGTGTATCATCGTACAATAGATCCTAAAATCCAGCGGTTTAAAACCTCATATTCCCTATGAAAATGCCATGCATTGGGACTATACTCTTCAGCCCACCCAATTTGCTTCGTTGACAGGTCACTTTCCCAGGTCCGTGGTGAGCATCAGCCGATGCATGCAGGGCTGGCACAGGCATGGCTTGAACAGGTGCAGCCCATCAAAATCCATTTATATACCTATTGTGAAAACTGCTGGGAGGACACCCCTCCTTTTCTGCTGAACTACTTGGCTTTTGTCTCAAAAGTTTGAGAAAAAAACTCCCAAATCCAGTGGAAGCCATATATTTTCCATGTCAAAATCCCCCAGACCTACAGAAACCCCTGCAACCAGGGCCTTCTCCCTGTCCGGATCATCGCTCTCCTCCTTGGATTCCGTCCCCTCAGCTTTCTCTGCCTGCGGCTGGTCATCCGTACAGCTTATGATGTTGACTTAGGTCCGTTGGGCTCAGCATCCTGTAATCGAAAAATTCTTTGAACATTTTGGGATTATCCCAAAATATCCCAAATTCTTAAGAAAACAATATCCCAAAATTCCCAAATTCATGGTCAAACAGTCTAGTCCCAAAGCATCACGAATTTGTGGCTGGCCCACCTTGTTACAGGCACCATTCCACCAGGAGACCAGCGCCCAAGACTCAGGGAAAAACATGGATCGATTGAGAAAATGGATGGACCGTGGCACTGGAGAGTTTGATGGATCTAGAGCTAGAGTTTTGCAAAGTTTGGATAGTTTCTTTAGAGATTTTTTGGATAGTTGGATAGTGTGTTGACCATGATGCTTTTCATGACTTTTCTGGATCGGGCAGGGATTTATAGTATTTACATTGAGTTGACTTGGCATGACTTCTTGAGATCCTGAAGTTCTGGCCTTCTGAGTACGGCCCAGCAGCAAAGGCAGGTGGTGAAGGGTGGCTAATAGAGCCTCTTTTTAAACAACACCGAAAAGATCCGAAAAGATCATAAGGGGATATATAAGGGGCATTTTTCCCAAATGTATCTTGGATTATCTTGGTATCTCACTTAGTTCATCCATGTTCATCTTGCACACTCGTCCAACCCCAAACCCCTGGCTCGGCACTCCCCACGCGTCGGCTTGGATGTGCCACCCAGCTATGCAGTCCGTGACTGGCAGTTGCAGTTGTGCAGAGGAACAAGACTCACCAACTATCCCAGCAATCAGGAAAACCTTCCTTTCAGATCAAAGTCTGAGTGAAAAGATGTAAAAAGTCATTCAAACCAAAGATCTATCTATTTCCCAAATCGCTTCAGACTCCCACCGCTGCGCCAACGGAATGGAAAACACAGCTGGTGCCGCTGGCGGCCCCAGGCTTTCCGCCAGCTTCGGCCTGAGTCCTGAAGCTGTGTTGGGGATATGATCAATTGCGATTTCGTATGGAGCATTTCAAATCGCAAAAAAAGAAACTTCTGTTCCATGAAGTTCCAAATGTTTATCAAAGTGACAACGAATGGTGAGTCTTGCAACTTTCTGAGAAAAAATTGAGGTACGGGATATGATCAAAAAGATGTGAAAGATCTGTGAACATTGGATACATTGGGGATCGTTTTTTCACCCTCGCAGGCTGGCCTCGGTGATGAAAATGTAGGGATGCCAACTATTCAGCGACTTCGCCGCAGGGTCGATGATGCCAGCACTGAGGCGACGGGGTTTTCTGGGCATCCACCATGGCAGACTTTGGTGTTTTATTGGCAGGGACCAAGAATGAGTGTACCCTCTGGTAATTTAACATAGCGAACTGGAAAATCACCATGATTAATGGGAAAATCCATTAGAAATGGTCATTTTCAATAGCTATGTTAAATTACCAGAGTGTAACCCATGGTAACCCGAATTAAAAAAGGAACCCATGGTAACCCGAATTAAAAAAGGTCCTTCAGTTTGGGGCGTGGCCATACCCAGCCGATGAAACAAGACCCTCTTTCGGGTTGCGTGAAATAGCCCCCTGAATCGATACAGTCTGCCCGAGGCTTGCAGCTCGCAACCTCAGAAACCACCCTTCAAAAGCTCTTCCAGAATCAACCAGGCAGGAAAACCCACGAATCAACTTGGAAAAAAAGCTTGGAAGAAAAAAAACATGAACCCAAAAACCTTAAGAAATTCCACAGCTAACCTCAGCATGCCGTGTCATCCGCACCACCCCTGCGGCCTGCGATCATCGACCTGTCGCTGGACTTGAAGCACCGCCACAGACTTGTCCGCCCTTGGTACCCCAGGAGGTGGTCAGTGACTCAGGTGGTCCCAACCGTTGAGACTGGTGGTTTCAACCCCCCAACCACTTGACCAATACCTGACCAAAACCTATGTTTGAACCCTTTAAGTGGAGCATTCCAAGTCATAGTTCACTGCAAGTTTCTTTCGTCGTGTGCGGTTGATGAATGTGTTGACCACAGTAGATCCACCTGTTGAAAGCACCACAAAATGTGTTTTCCCTCACAAACAGACCATGAAACGGCGCCTTCATTAACCTTGATTGTTGTGTTTTAGCAACGCACGTTTGTTGGGTGGCATCATCATAGTTGGTCCCAATCCGCTGATCTCACTTGAAAACACCAAACTGTTTGGGAATTTGGACCTTCCCAGGTTCCCAACCCCTCACTCCAGCCACTCCAGTCACCGAGCAGCGCGTTCACGATGATCTTCTCTGCCCGTATGTGGGCAGAAGGTGTGGGGTCTACCTGCTTCGGTCCACTGTGGCCCTTGAAGCCATCAGGGGCTTCAGATGTTGTCTGGGAATCAATTTCTGCACCAAAGTGGTCAACCCAATATACAACAATGTGGACTGTTTATACCACCTACTCCTGGCGAAATTGGGGATTGTTTATTCTTGGGTTCACTTTTTTTCCTTCTGCCAAGGCACGAGGAAGAAATCTGCAGGTTCTGAACAGAAGATTAAACAAAAATAAAGAAAATCTTCCAAGACAAATGCCCGTTAGGCAGCTCCAGGTGTGCAAAAAGAAAATTAAGTTGTCTATCAGGCCGGCATGTGGCATAGTTTCAACCTTTGGTTGAAAGTAAATCTTCTCTTTACCGATTGAAGAACTCTGTACATGTAGTAAAGGACCGAATTAAGCTCCAACATCAGCAACTGAATTGCAATTATTAGCGAAGGCCACTACAGTCTGCCGAAAGGAATAGCGAATAATAGCGAAGGCCATCACAAGATGGCAAAAAAACACAATTAGAAGAGTCTTTGCCTTGCTTCAGCCAAGAGCTGTCGTTGCTGGATGGAGGGGTTCCCCTAAATCCAATGGTCAATCATCATGTTCTCAGATAGCAAAAGGTTGGGGGTATACCGGGATACCGGGTACACCCCATGTTCAGACAAACCCATTTTCTCATGGTCCACTGGTCACCAGCTGCAACCTGCCGCGCCTGGTTGGTGATTTCGTGCCAACTTTGGCCGCTGTCACAGCTTGAATAGAGCCGCCTGAGCCGTAGCTCAGGGTCTAAAACGTCGATGTGTCCTTTTGTAAACAATTTGGTTCCCCAACCTAATCAAGTGATTGAGTGTTAACATGTTTTAACAATCCAGTCTCGGGGGTAAGTGTTCTCCTCAATTGTCAGTTGTAAGTGAAAGAGTGCACGTGCTATAATGATAGATTCCAGCGTGTTTCATGTCCCAAAGAACAATGGGAGAAGCCCAACATTGTATGGTCCATACTAAAAACTAACCAAACTCTGTGGCCCCCCGATCTTAAGAGCTTTTGACCCAAACCTGCAAAGCCCGTCACCTCAGTCCACCCCGCCCGGCCCTCATTGCTGAGCCAGGGAGCTGTTTCTTGGTTGTTAGCAGCAAGCACTCATGTCGTTTGCCCAGGTACCTCACGTGCAGCCCCAAGAGTTCGCTGCTCTTCCGCCCGTAACATTCTTGTGGTTGCTACTGATGCTGTTCCTCTTATTGCACCTGCCTTGTTGTTGCTGTTGCCGTTGCGGCTGCTGCTCTTGCTGCTGTTGCTTCCGCTGCGGCTGTTGCTGCTGCGGTTGCTGTTGTTGCTGGTGATGCTGGTGATGCTGGTGCTGCTGGTGCTTCTCCTGTTGCTGGTGCTGCTGGTGCTGCCGGCGCTGGTGCTGTTCTTCTTCTTCTACTACTTCTTCTTCTTCTTCATCTTCATCTTCATCTTCTTCATCTTCTTCATCTTCATCATCTTCTTCTTCTTCTTCGTCATCATGCTTCCGGGCCCCCGAACAGGACATGAATCCCAAAATCCTGTGCCAACGTCTCTGTTGCCCGAGCGCTGGGTCCCAAGCACAATGTCCACCACCGCGCTGTCCAGCACCAGCTCTTTGACGAGAACCTGCCAAGCTTCGCCACCAAGCCAAGCGAAGGGCCAATGTATTCAGGCATCCTTGAAGGAGGGTACGACCAAAAAGTGAAGCCCTGAACCTTAAAGAAAGGAAATGCTTCTTGAATGATTCCCTACTTGCTTGAGCATGTCTAGAACAAGAAATGCATATATAATTATATTATATTATATAATAAATGACATGTGTGCCTTATTCCCTATTTCCCGTAGATCAACGCCGTGGGGTTAGGATCTGAGATTGGATTCTCCTTGCCGTGCCATGTGGGCCCCAACCTTGTCACCGTGGAATCTTGAAGGTTCTACAAATGGATTCTCGTAAGTGGTTTCAACATGTTCCAACCCGCATGAAAACATCAGTGAATTGGGATCATTATCCCAAAGTAGCCTTGAAAATCAAAATATTGAAACCAGCAAGAAAGGTTTTAATGGAAAAAACGGGATCATAGCCCAATATCCGCACATCTTTTTCAGCCCCTCCTGTGGACAGCCCTCCGTAACGGCCTCCTTTTTGTCCGCTGGGGTGTCGTTTCCAATCACCTCATACCAAGGCCTCAGGTCGTTGCTGCCGTGGCCACGACATTGCAGCTTCGAACTCTGGGAATGATGCGACAATCAATATAGTATATTCTGTATATATAACTATATAATATTGCAGTATATATATATATATACATATATAACTATATAGTATAGATATAGTATAGATTATACACACACTTTTTGAGTAGACTCTTTGAGCCAAGGGGAGCTCTTGCTGACGAAACATCGAAAAATCCTGGGATCCCAAAAGCCTCCCAAAAAAAGCGCCGACAGCTGGGATCCGCCGCTGGAAAAAGAGGAGCCACAGAGGTCGCAAGGCACGGCAGGGGCGCATGGTGCGTCAATCAGCAAAGGAAAAACTGATGGCTGGGAACTTCTGGATGCTACTGAGATGCTACTGGAAGCTTTGCCACTTCCGGGGTTGGAGACCTGGCTATCAGTTGAATCACACAGAACTGAAGTTGTCCAACTAGTTCCCCGAGTTGAAATGATGTTTACTGGGGATTCAAGTGGGGGACCCCCTCTTGAGTTTCTCAGCTTGGAACAGGTCGAAAGTCCATTTCCCACCGCGCAGTGGGAGTTTGACTCTGACTATTCGATCTTTTTTGGGGACTGCCTCACATTGATTGTTTGTTTTCTCAGCTTGGAAGATGACGCTACATGTCACCCACTTCTCTTGTAACATTGTGGGCAGCGCCTGAAGCTTGAGGTAGAGATACCACCAAAGCATCCAAAACTCACATCATGGTCCGTTTGAAGCAATCTCAGCACAGCCACAAGACGTCAAAACATGGCTGCCGGCCCAGAATACCCACCCCAACAAGCCGAAATATCAAAAACCTGCAAAAACATGCAGTTCAAGGAGGCATAACTCTCCAGAACCTGGATCCTTCAACGATTCATTCATGCCATTTTGAAAACCAAGTGTCAGTAGGAAAAACCAGCCATGAGCAGGGGCAGGTCCTTCATTTAAAGTACCAGGAAAGTGGGCATCTAACCCTCCAAACTATTCCAAACTATCCCTGTAACTTTCTTGGCCGACCAGCCTTTTTTGCCCGACAACGTTGTGTCAAGTGTGAAACCTCTGCTGGTCATGGTCATCGCCTGTGCAGGGACCTGGCGTTCCTGATGTCTCGGTAACCGCATCCTGGTGCTTGGGAAGTTGATCAGAACAAACATTTGCCGAATCCTATAGATGATTAATACGTGTCAAAATTAAGACGCATCAACAAGTTTCCACAAATCCGCAGAAATATATACTATATATATATATTATATATTTAAAAAACTCCAACCACCAGGGGGTACTTTTGGCCCCTGCTCATGTCTGGTCGACATAGGCCGCTGCAACTGTGAAACGCTGCAAGCTGAAGCCTCGGGGAAGGATTGATCAAGCCATACAAGTAGGGTACAGCAACACCCAAAAGATAGAACTTGGTAAAATCATGTAAAATCCTACTAAACCAGTGGTAAATTATCATATTCCATCTCTTTGAGGGTTACCAGCGTTACCGGCCATCCGATTTGCAAACGTGCCAAAGTCGATGTTCTGCAGATGTTGGTGCCCTGGTGATTCATCCCAAACTATCCAAACTGCAGTCGAGTGTCTGGTTGCTCAGAACTCTTGATGCCCAAGAAGGACCTTGGCGCGATTCATGTTCAGGGCCGATAGGAACCCCCGCTCCCATACAAATTTCCTGATTCGGCATGGTATGGCAAGGCACCATGGGAATGGGGGTTCCAGCATTGCAGGTTCCCAAAAAGAAACAATGTGCAGATCATGTTGCTGTCTCTCCAAGTTTGAGTCCATTGAGCCCCAACCAGAAAAAAACGAGTCACCCAACTGGGTTGTTAAAATCACCGTCAAATGAAGAATGTCTTTTTTTGACATAGACAAAGTATGACCGTCAGTACCCAAAAATGGAATGGTTGTCTACACACGTACCCAAAATCTGAGAGAAAGTGGGTGGTCCCAAGGGCCAATGTCAATCCCCATTTCTTCTCTGCCCATGTTTGATGATTAAATCCACAGTTTTCAATCTCTGTTTTGATCGATGGTTAAATTGTCTTGTTCTGATTCCATGGTCCAAAAATCTGTAGCCCAAAATTGCAACTACACTCATTTTTTGGTGGGAAATATGATCACATGCATTTGGAATATGTTGGCATTTTCAGACAAACCCAAATATCATCTTGTTGTTGATATATATATATATAATTGTAATTATATTTATAATTATATTTTATATATATATTATTATACTATACTATACTATACTATATTATATTATATTATATTATATTATATTTTATTATATTATATTATATTATGTTCTATTGTATTATATTATATTATATTATATATATATTATCCCATTCCAGTTCATATTTACTTCTCCCCATGTTTGACGGTTCAATTCCATCTACACCTCGATTGGGCCTCCCTGCCGGCGCGGCAAGCAGTGGCAGAAAAACGCTGGGCCCACCGAGCCTGGTCATCTGGTGAGTTTCATGGGGAAAATGATCAAAAATGAAGGTTTCCTGAAATGGGGGTACCCCTTTGTTTCATCCAGTTATAAATGTATTTCCATGAAATAAACCATCCAGCTATGGGGTACCCCCAATTTAGGATGATCAAAAACGGGAATCCCGTGAAATTTTGCGGCCATGTTCAGAAGCCATAGATGGCGTCTTGTCTGAAGAATTTTAGGGAACCTTGGCGAAAATCCAATGGTTTTCAGCAATCAACCTACAAGAAGAGCGAGGATGCAAGCAGTTCAACTTGGGTTTTGAATGACCGAATGGACAAATGGCCGTACACAAATCAAAATGGGAATGCCGGGTAGCTTGCCGTACAGTGTTCAAGTGATCACACTGAGTGAGATCCTCGCAAAACCATCGGAAGTTCAATCAAGTTGGGTACGAGAGAAGGGCTTCAGTCTAGATATATATATATATATATATATATTGTGTATGTGTATATATATATATATATATTGTGTATGTATATATATATATATTGTGTATGTATATATATATATTGTGTATGTATATGACGGTTTGTCAAAATGTCTGTTCCCGGTTTTGTTGATAAATCGCAATTCCATGCGTGCCGCCTCATGTTTGCCTTTAAAAAACATGACCTACCTTGATGACGTGAAAACGTGGAAATTCTTCGTTACCTTTGGAAATCTTTCTAAAACCACAGGAATCGGCTAACGCACGTCGGTTTTCATTCGCTGTCGCTGGTACTATCTCCTGAACTGTGTGTCTCTGTGTGTGTGCCTCTCTGAATGCAATATGCTTCTTGACATGCCTCCTGATCAACGCTGTTTCCTTACTGTAAGCTACCAAAGCGTGAACATGGCTGTGCCTCTGAATGGGCTGCGGGTGGACCGGGGCATGTATTTGCAATTTTCGCTAGCGCGTTGCTAGCGGTGATCTAGCGCGTAAAATACGTAAACAAATCGAAAATTTGGGAATATGTGGAAACTGACAGACTTGTAAGAAAAGCTGGCAAGACATTCACGACATGGAGGCCATGGCTGTAAATCAAACCTAGCGCAAACCTAGCGGGTTTGCTAGCGCTGCCTTGCAGAATTGCTGAATTGAGTTGCGTGCCGCCTCATAACGAAGAGGAAAAAACAGTAGACCCAGATGAATTATCAACAACCAATACTAAACTTCTAAACAACTATTTTTGACAAATGGTCATATATATATATCTTGTTTATGTATATATATATATTCATATGTGAATACGTGTATGTATGTATTGATATTATTTTTGCCGCTATAATCTATACAGTATAACCTGTCTCAATCTGGATACACAACTCCCGCCTCGCTTGGCCAACCGTGGTGGCATCATATCTTTCCACCTGGACTATCCAGTAGCTGGTCCAATCTGTGGTCAAAGATGGATGATGAAAGTATGAAAGTCTCCAAGGTTGACTCAGAAACGACGAGATAATCTTGCTCCCTGGGTCTTGAATGTTGAACCATGCCCACTGGACCTACGCTGGTGCATTTTTTGGTCTTCCCTATGTTCGGAAGGTCAGGACACTCCATGGTCTCTCGTTTCCTACTCCAACTTCTCTCATCATTCTCCTGGTGCGCATCCGTGCCCTTACACACTGCTGACTTCCAAACCAGCATTGTGCTGGGTTTGATGACAATTCCCTGCCTTTCTTCTTGGGCCCCAGAAATCCCCAGGAATTCCTCTCCAGGCTAGGGTCCCGGGCATCCCATTTGAAACTGCGAGGGACTTCATCAGGATAGAGCTCATAGCAGTAGCCGACGCTCATCACATAGCTCCTGAAACGCTGGGAAAAACGGCCAAAAGAGTCATCAACATTCGACTGATTATCAGAAACTGATATATTTCATGGCAGAAATATTTGAATGTATTTGATATTATTTACAGGTATTAATTAGTATTAATAGATATTGATGCGGAAAACCGCAAAGGTATTGAACCAATGGTAGATTCCGCCCATAGATCCAACTGATCCCATCCGAGCCCCACCTGATCTGGTCACCGTTGCACTTATCGTTTGCTAAGTAGTCCACCTCGCAGGAGATGTCTCCAAGTTTGATCCATCTTAGATACCTATGATACCTCCCCACTTATGGCTCAAGCTTGGTATTGGCCCAAGGTTTGCCCAAGCATTTTCGTGATCTCAGACTTTCAATGCCCGGAATATGTCAGACCCTTCAAAAACGACCAATTTTGAACGACCCCCGTTCATCAGATGGCTAAATTGGGCATGGGTCAAAGTTGGGTGACGATTTGGGGTCGGGACTTGGGACCAGTGGACCCTCAGTTGGACGAGCGACAGCAGTCATTTTTCGCTTGCACAGAAAAAACAATAAACCCCTAAAATCCAATGGCTACAAAACTATACAAAACTTACCTTTTTTTGCGGGGTAAGACTTAGACCAGGCACCTGTGTCACATTGGTCGTGGTGGGATCCACCCGAAAGGCCTGCAGGCGGAGTAGCCCCCAAAAAAGATGCAGAATAGTGGAGGTTGTCCCTACTTTAGTGGAAAATTCAGAACCAAAGTCTCTCTTTTTGGGGGGTGCTATCTTTTTGGCCAAGTATAGGGTTGCGCATTTTCGAGCTTTGCTTCTCAAAGCTGGCAGTTCCCCCACCAAAACATCGGGGGTTCAAATCTGCTTGGTGCTTTCAGCTAACCCATGAAATTGGTTGAAATTGGCTGATAAACTGAGAAAAGAAGCAGCAAATTTGGGGATATTGACCAACAACAATTTAGTTGGTGAATTCGTATCTCATAAATAAGTAAACATGTGTTTAAGTTGAGAAAATAAGAAGCAAGCTTTGCGGATATTGACTACCAACAAAGATCTGATTGGCGGTTTCAAGCCACCTGAAGAATATGTGGAATACGCACTGCGATTATTGTCCAAGGCAGCCAGAACTGCGATTCCGCTGCTGTATCATCCCAGTGGAAAAATCTTCAAGCGGGAGCCCTGAAACACTCGTTACATGTATCCATCATCCACTTCAACCAAGACAGGCACCAAATAATCAAATTCAAACTCAAATGAAGACAGGACCTGTCTCAAGTGAGGGACCCTCAAGTGACATGGATGCTGGGTCGAACCCGAGGTTTTCTTCACTCCTTTACAAATCTGTTCTGCCTGGTGAAGTCTTTCCATATTTGACATGTTTCATGTTTGGTTTACCCTCTGATTATTTAACATAGCCATGGAAAATCACCATGCTATTAATAGGTAAACCCAGGTAAACCATCTATTTCTATGGGCCATCTATACCATGGCAAACTGTTAGTCATAACCAGAGGGTTTGCCATTTTTGGTGCACCTGAGTGCCATTGCTCCAGCGCATACATTCGTTCTGCACCGGATAGGTGTAGATCTTGGTGCACGGATCCCCATAAGGCGAAAGTGATCCCCAGCAAAATCCACAGCAAAATCATGGATTTATTAAATCATGTCCTGGGAAAACTACGGGTTTTCCCATATATATCTACGTTAGTTTACGTAGTTTACAGGGTATATCATATATCAGGATAACAGTTTAACAGTATATCATACATCCTAATAGAAACTGAGGTTGCAAACTAGCATAACTCCGATTAATTTGGTTGTACAATGGAGTACTGGGGGGTAAATTCTGATCTGGGCAAATTCCGATCATCAACCACTAGGTCTGTTGTTGGTCATCAGCAACCTACAAAATCTACAAACCATCAGTCGGAATTGTCATATCCATATATTCTCAAACCTGCCAAAAAAAATATAGTATTTCCCCCCCAACAACCCGTCATTGATTGTGGTTCTTGAAAGGTGGAATTGGCCCGGGAAAAGATGGCAGGAAGTGGTCCGCCTTGCTCCACCACTTTCCCAACTGGCTGGTCACTCTACATGAAGAGTATCGCGACTAAGTTTGGAAATTCTGCGATCATGGGGATATTTTCCTTAACTAGGGGACTCTCTGAGAAGTTCAAACTGTGATGATGGAAGCAGCTTTGCAGCAATCAACTGCAGATAGAACTGCGGATGAGTTCTGACGTTTCCAAACGAAGTCCATCTTCCTCTAAAGAAAAGATCGGAGCATATACAACATCTGTACTTTACGTGCACGTGCGTGTGCGAATAATATATGCAATGAAATGCAAGGTAAGGCAAGGCATTGGCATGATACTTGCATGTATGTACGTACGTACGTACGTATGTAATGTACGTACTTTACTTACATATGTATAGATAATATATATATATATAATTCTATGTATACATATTGAACATTATTATTTTCAAAGTTCAACCCAGCAGCTCCTTTGCATACAAGAAAGACACGCTCCAAATATGAATCTTCCGTACCCCAGTCCACACCCGGAGACTCTCCCACGGCAGGGGCATCTCCAATTCGAGCACCCCACCATGTATGGCAAGCCCATACAATTCGCTTCCGAAAAGAAGCGCTGGGTCGTGACCTCAGCGCCAAAGGCTGGACTCCGGGACTCCGGGACTCCGGTCCGGGACTGCTTGAGAAGAATCGAATCTGATTCAGTGATCGAATTAGATGTAGGTTTCTCAAAAAATGGGGTACCCCCAAATATACCATTTTAGTATTGAAACATGTTGAAACCCATGGGTTTTGGGGATCCCCCATTTTAAGAGACCACCATATTGCCACTGTGGCCAGATGGCGCCAAGACACCGCTAACCGCGAGCAGCTCTCGCCCTGAGTGTCCAGGGGTGAGGCACTTCTTAGACGCGCAGCATAGTCTTTCGTCACAAATTGCTTCCAGTATTTCCAGTTACCTCATTATACATATTATACCTCATTGTCCGATTCAACATGTTTAAGCCGTTTACCCAACTTTTACCCAACTTTTACCCATGAGTTGAATCGGAGCAAGTGGGCCCACTTAGCTCCCCAGAGCTGATCCATGGCCGGCCGCAACGTCCGCAACGTCCCCAGGTCGGCTGAGGTCCCACACCACACAGGTCGTCGATCTCAAGCGGCTCTTGAGCGACGCATAGTAACCTGCAGAAATGGAGCATGGGGAGACCCCAGGCGCATCGTTTCTCTGGGGAAACAAACTTATGAAAGACTCAATGGGAAAATCCCGTCACATTCAATGGAAAAAAATGTTTCATAAGACATATTTCATGATATTTCATGTTACAAACTCCGAAAATCCCAATGACTCACTTGACCCTTTCGTTTCCACCAATGAATTAGTACTGCTGGAGGCAAAATGAGTCGTTGGACTTTCAGAGTAGTGGGGTCGTCAAAAAAAAACACGAGCATACGGTATAGCCATAATATCAATTTGGATAGGAAACATGATGACAAATGATAAACCATAGAATTGTGATTTTGGGGGGAATAAAAAACAATAAAATACATACAACCCCATGTTGATAAAATTGGCGCTTTTGATGAAATCTCCGAACTTTGATGGTAACCCTCGGGTAATCCAACATAGCCATAGAATACCACCAACTCCTGTTGCGATTTGAGGCGCCGCCCACGAATCGCTCGCATTTCCCTGAGACCAAGGTCCTTGCCGTTTGCAACGGCTTGACCGAGTGTGATGGATTTGCCTCTGTGGATTCAGAAGAATGTCACCCATCCATAATCCAATGGAGATTCAAAGGGAGATTCAAAGGATCGGCCCCATGAAAAGGTCCAGTCCTATGATGCACTGGTTTATCAATCCAAGCAATGAACAGCAACAAGACTGGCTATAGTATATTAATACGTATATATATATAATATATGATATAACGTTAAGAAATGATTGATTGATATGGGTATGGATCAAGTCCCAATCCCCAAAAAGGATCTGGAAACGCTTCAGTCGGACACCAGTCGATCGATGAACACCTCCGATTCGCCCATTGGAACGGTCCAGGTGTCGTCCCGGTCCTCTTTGGACTAAATTGTGAGTAACAGGCGTCGGTATAGTCGTAGAGATCATACCTTCGAAATGCGGCTATCCATCAAGTTTTCACGGCTATCCATCAACTGCAACATCGCATTTCATGCTGCATTAAAATATGGCAGTGTGTCAAAACCTTAAACCCCCCTGGTGAACATCAAAATAGCTGGGATTTATGGATGTTCATCCCACTAAAAATGGTATTAATAGGTATTGATCCATACCCATATGTTGAATCTGGACATCTCCGGGTGGCATCGCAAATGGGGGTTGTGTTTCACGGCCATTTGAACAGCGTCCCACCTGGAGACACCGGTGAAGCCCACGATCTTCAGCTTGAAGGCCTTCGTGAGATTGGTGTACATGTTCGCATAGCAACCATCATCCAACAGCAGCATCGAGGTGTACCTGCCGCAACGAACCGTGTGGAGTCGCTTGGTCGGTGGGCGGATGTTGATGTGACATGACGGCGCCTAAATAGTTAAGGATCTCACCCTGACATGTTTTTCTTCGCATGAACAATCAATCTAAAGATGGAACCAACTGAAAAAGGAAAAAACAACTTTTGGGGGCAGAGGTTTTCTTGTGAGATTTGAGCGCCTTTTCACCCTTCCGCGGGTCACGCGGTGATGCAGTTGCCATCGACGTACAGGGTGACGTCGATATCCAGCGTGTCCGATGCGCTCAACCGCAGGACGCTTGACAGCAGCAACCATCCCAAGCCTGACAGCGGTGAGTCCACCGCTAACCACCAATCCAGGTTCCAATTTGGAGCTGAGGATCATCCAAGCACTTGGTCATGGGATCATAGATCTTCCTATATAGAAACCATTTACTTATATTTACTGTAGGTTTGGTGGGAATCACTGAGCTAATCCCCCAACTTAGCACCAAAGCTCTCCGCAAAAAATGGGCTGGATAGCCCCACCATTCAGGCCGACACCATTTTGTGACGTCTATTACCCTATGAAATGTAAGGCCCCAAACCCTGCAAATGGTCAGGGAGTACAGCAGACTGCCCACAATTGGCTGAGCTATGGCTCCACAAACCCGATCGTACGGGGTACGGCTGGAAAACCCGTCGATCAAATGGGTCGCAATCTCAGCAAAATCAGCGAAATTGGTGACCGACACATTCAAATATGTATACCAACATAATCCAACATATACAAACATTGATCTGTGCACTTTGTGAAGGTTAACGATTAACATAACATTGGGGGGTGGAGCAGCAAGAGTACAGTATCATGAGATATCAGTGATACCTCAAACACAAAAGGACAGTACATAGTTGAAACCAACACCTGGTAGTGCGATTCATTCAATCTTTTTCAGTTGCTGTCAAGGCTGTTGGGGTCATCCACCCTCTGGCTTTTTTAATCAGGCTGGAGGAAATGCTTTGATCAGGATGAGTCAATATTGGCAACCAAGTTTCGGGGCTCATCAATTCTGACCATGCCATGCCCAAACCACACAGCTGACACAATCTTTGCAGAGCCCATCCCACCTATGGCTTTGGCCATGGCTGCAAATGGCGGGAAACACACCAGGCTGCTGTACCGCTCAACACGCCAAGCTTGAGATGAAGTTTGGCTTGCTAGTTGCTTCTGTTCAAAAAAAATGGGTCTCAGTTTTGGGTGTGCACCTGAACTTTTTGCCAAGCATTTTTTCGTAGGCTGCTTTCTTTCCTAGTCGTCCGGGCATCGTTTCAAGCTCACAGTTTTTACCATGTGAGGCTCCGCGTCCTACCGTTGTGATGGCCAATGGCTGTGCACATCAAAGCTTGAGGAAATGGCAACGTGCCCACCATCCAACCTTGCAACAAAACCTCCTTGGTCTGATGCGGATGGTTCAAAACTGATCATTAGGAAAGCAAAACATCGTGAAAATGACGTGTCCTTCCAACTCTGCTTGGATTCTTTCGAGGCCGAAAAAGTGCCCTGGGCTGTCTAGAAAGCTCCCACTAAATTGGTGTGAGCATCCGGAAAAACACATGAATCCGGCATGATGTGACACACAAGGATGCGAACATTGGTGCGGGACGGTGATAAGTGTTGGGCACTGGCGAGGTTGGTAATGGCTATGGTCGTAGGTATGGTTGATGTTGATGATGATCAGGATGATGATGATGATGATGATGATGACGATGACGATGACGATGACGATCGATGATGATGATGATCATGATGATGATGACGATGACGATGACGATGATGATGATCATGATGATGATGATGATGGTGATGGTGATGGTGATGATGATGATGATGATGATGATGATGGTGATGGTGATGGTGATGATGATGGTGATGGTGATGATGATGATGATGATGGTGATGATGATGATGATGATGATGGTGATGGTGATGGTGATGGTGATGGTGATGGTGATGTTGATGATGATGATGATAATGATGGTGATAATGATCATGATAATGATCATGATCATGATCATGATGGTGATGATGATGATGATGATGGTGATGGTGATGGTGATGATGATGATGATGATGGTGATGGTGATGGTGATGATGATGATGGATTATGGATGATGGATGATGGATGATGGATGATGGATGATGAATGATGAATGAAGGATGATGACGATGATGACGATGATGACGATGATGATGAGGAGGATGAGGATGAAGATGAGGATGAAGATGAGGATGGCCATGGCCACGGTGATGATGGTTATACGATGATATGATTAGATTGTTTAGATGATTATATTATTAGGTGATTAGAGAGTTATACAGATACTCGTGATGATGATGGTGATGAATATGAATAAGATGATTGGGATGATTCGAATGATAAAGATGATTGGCATGATAAGAATGATTAGAATGATTAGGATGATTAGCATGATGGTGATAATGGTCATGGTGATGATGGTCATGGTAATGATGGTGGTGGTGGTGATTGTTTTGGGAAAGGAAGAGCTGCAACCGGGCACTGTTTTTGGCCACCAAGGATTGGAGCTTGTGTCAAGAAATGATCACATTTGCACGAGGCGTCAGCTCAAAAGGTCGGCTGTGTTGACAGCCCTACGGAAGTTGGACACAGAGATCACTGGCCAAAGAACGCATTGACAGGACATGTGGATGGATGTCTCAAAAACCCCAGCTGCCGGGGCTCTTTTAAGATCTTTGCAGATTGCAGAAGTTCTGAAGTTGCGATGTGTTGCGATGTGTTGCGATGTGTTGCGATGTGCTGCGATGTGTTGCGATGTGTTGCGTTGTGTTACAGTGTTGCCATGGGGTGCCCTCGCCCGAGACGTCCCCGGTGGTGTCGCCCAAAATGACGAAGCTCAAATCCCACGGTCGGTTCCAAAATGATCTCATACTTGCAACAGTCTTCGTTTGCAAAGTCCTTCAAGGGACCTTAGAAGTTTTGATCTTCAGAAACAGAAACGATTCGACATTGGCCAGGCTTAGCTTCTCCCGAAGAAGCAACTTTTTAATGGGGTAGATGGAAGAAGCGTATACATCAACACTGTATGTACTATATGCATGCATTCCTCATCATTCCTTCCATTTATGGATAAAACATGAAAATAAAACGGACCAATACAACATTGTCAAAGCGAAGTATGTCTTGAACCATTCATTAATTTGGCAGTGTGTCAAAACCTTGTATCCCTGTAGTTCACATCAAAATAGCTGGGATTTATGGATGTTCATCCCCCTAAAAATGGTATTAAGAGGTATTGATCCATAGCCATTTGATGTTCCATCAATGACTGAGACATCCTCAACTGGGGTCCACTTTGGAAAGACCCGACCCTGTGTCTTTAAGAACCAGCTCTCTGGATCCGGCTACACGGACGGCAACCGGTGGGTCTGTACGGCCACGAATGTGAGCTCTTTAAAGCCCGACATCGGCTGCTGACACATGGGTTTGTCTGAAAATAGTGTACCCCTACACCCAATGGTTAATGATCATTATCCCTACTAAATGGCTATAATTGGGGGTATACCCCATTTTCAGACATACCCACATTTGTAAGGAAGGCCCTGACCAGAGGCCTAGAGTCAACAAAAACATACAAAAACAACAACATAAACAAGGGATAAACAACTGCAAATGTCCAGAACATATTTTGTACTTCGACAACTGGTGAAAAGGCGATTCTCACAGCTCTCCTCCCGGCTCAAAGATGCAATCAGCGGCTGCAAAGCATGAAACCAGAGAAGACCCCGAACCCCTTGGAGTCTTCGAAGAACAAAACTCCGGACTTCTGCATCAATGTGTTGGGCCAAAACTGGTATGCTCCAAAATGGCGATTTTGATGAGAAAATTATGATCATTAAATTGGAGAATGATGACAAACCACTGGACTTTAGGAGTATATACCCCATTTGGCTATGGATCTACACCTATAAAAACCATAACTTTGCGGCAGAATTCACGTCCATTTAGCAGCTACCCTTTGGTAATTTAACATAGCTATGGAAAATCACCATGATTAATGGGAAAATCCACTATAAATGGTCATGTTCAATAGCTATGTTAAATTACCAGAGGGTATTTTGATATGACCCCTACCGGTCCTGCGGCTAGGAGCGCCCAAAGTCTGAGTCAGTGGAATCTTCGTAGGAATCCACTTCCCCATCTGAGACGCCTGCAAGGTGGTGCCCTCCTTGGGTGGTGCCCTCCTTGGGTGGTGCCATCCAGAAAGCTAAGAAACGATGCTTCTTAAAATCAAACTATGGTTGTAAGAAACAATAAGTTTCAATAGCTAAGTTGAATTATATACACGGGTTTCAGACTATGACCGAGACCCTTCCCGGAGAACCCCACCAAGAGGCAGATGCTGGCGCACCTTTTCACTCCAGATTGGGCTCGGTGATCTTGAGCCAGTCAGTTGATTGGCCCTTGAGCCAATTGAATGGCTTGAGCCAAGTTGCAACAGTCGGAGGACGTCTCAACGACTGTGAAAACTTTAAAAAAGACCTTAGTGGGGGTGCAGTGGTACTCTGTGCATGTTTCCCAAACCGCACTCCCCCTTCCTGCTTGCAGGAATCCAGGTTCCCCAACACCAAAAACAAAAGCTTCAGGGGTGGCCACGTTTCCTCTGGGAACTCGCCCTTCCCCCAGCCAGAAGGGCGAAGACCCTCGTGTGCCATAGTCCCAGGCTTGTGTTGGTTCCCCCTTCATCCAAGGGTCGCGTGGAGTTCCACTTCGGGTTGACTCCAAAAATTGAAAAACTACAGCCCTAACTTCGTAGGTTTTGAATTCCCTCTCTCACCAGCGCTGTCCTCGAAGAGCGCCCAACGGTGTTCTTTGGGTCCAGCAGCTGATGAGCTTTTCCCTGTATTGGTCTTTTCCACCGGCAGCTAATGATCTTTTCCTTGGGTCTTGTTGATCTTTTTCTCCAGCCACCGATGTACTTTTCCGTGTGACCTATTTCCTTTTGGGTGAGCTTTTCGCCACATCTCTTGGGTCTTGTTTGACAAGGAAAACGGTGTATCCCACCCACTTGTCTTCGACCCACTTGGTCTCCCAGTCAAAATCCAAGATTATTTTTCGCTCGTTGCTGTCCAGGGTATTCCACAAAAATGTGACCCGGTAAGGATCCAACTGGTCGACCTTTTTCGGTAAAGTGGGGTGATCTGGATGAAATGAATTCTGTCTCCATTTGTAATGGATTCTTGTGATGATTCTTCCATAGTCCCCAGGGGCTGGAACATGCCACATGTCAATGGCCTGACCCTGTTCTTCAAAGCCTGTTACGGCCGGCGGCTTTGTCATCCATGCTGTGCCCTCTCCAGAGATGATATATTCCACCTCACGCATGACCACCTCAGGCATGTAGACTGTCCAGCTGGCTGGGTCTTCAGGACGTCGAATTAAATCTTGTCCCGGACGAATCTTTGGTCTTTGGGCCGGTGGCGGAGTCTCCGGTTCTGCTGGCCTTCTTGGTGTCTGGGAAGACTCAGTGTCCTCCTCCGGATGCTCCTTGTACCACTGTTCCCATTCAGCCTCGGTGTATTTGTTCTTCTTCTTCTTTTTCTTTTTCGGTTCCCATTTGTCACCCCATGCACCATCCCACCAATACCATTCTCCTCCATCTACTTCATAGTAAGCCGCTGCCTTAGGAGCTGCCTTAGAGGAGGAGGCTCGGGTCGTTTCTGCAGGTTTTTCCTTTGGCTCTGCAGGTATTGCCTTTCCATAGACTGATCTCATCCTTGCAAGGTAATCAGCCATTTTTTCTCCTTCTCTCTGTTCCTTCCATTTTCCCCACTCTTCATCATCGGTGGGTACTTTTTCCTCTTCCTTGGGAGTTGGCATCGACGGTTTTTTCGGTGGCGGTCTCCCAGGGGCTTTCATACCCTCTGGCAGCGGAGCTATCGGTCCCTTTGGGACCCTTTCCGAACCTCGCGATTCGGCTGTAGAAGGGCCAGGGCTTTTTTCACTCTCCGATCGCCTTGTTGTCGATTCCTTTTCCCTGTGTGGCGACCTAGATCGCCCTGTTTCACCCCGTCTCCGACGGTCTCTTCCTCTTTCCCTTTTATCA